AGCCAGGAGCTTCTTCTGGGTCTCCCACATGAGTGAAGGGGCCCAAGCACTTGGGCCATCTTCCACTGCTTTTCCAGGCCATTAGCAGGACGCTGGATTGGAAGTGGAGCAGCTGGGACTTGAACCTGTGCCTAAATGGGATGCTGGTGCCACAGGCAGAGGCTTAACGTACTATGCCAGAGTTCCAGCCTCCTTTAAAAAAAAAAAAAATAGAAGGCTTATTTATTTGGAAGGCTGGGTGAAAGAATGAGAGAGTCACAGAGAGAGAGAGAGAGAGAGAGAGAGAGAGGGAGAGAAATATTTTCCATCCATTAGTTCACTTCTCAAATGGTCACAACAGCCAGGGCTGGACCAGGATGAAGCCAAGAGACAGAAACTCCATCCGTCTCCTATTGATCTGAAGTATGGATCCAGGAGCTTCTTCTGGGTCTCCCACGTGGGTGGCAGGTGGCCGAACACTTTGATCATCTTCTGCTGCTTTTCCCAGGCCATTAGTAGGGAGCTGGATTGGGAGTGGAACAGCTGGGACTCCAGCTATCATATGGGATGCCAATATTGCAGGTGGCAGCCTTATCCATTACGTCACACTGCCCCCACCCTTTGTTAAAAAAAAAAAAAAAAAAACTAGTGTCCAGACTGCAGCCAGGAGCCAGGAGCTTCATCCAGGTGTCCCGTGGGCCATCCTTTGCTGAGTTTTCTCAGGCACGTTAGTAGGGAGCTGAATCAGAAGTGGAGCAGCTGGGACTTGGATGCTATTCTTTTTTTTTTTTTTTTTTTTTTTTTTTTTTTTTTTTTTTTGACAGGCAGAGTGGACAGTGAGAGAGAGAAACAGAGAGAAAGGTCTTCCTTTACCGTTGGTTCACCCTCCAATGGCCGCTGTGGCTGGCGCACTGCGGCCAGCGCACCACGCTGATCCGAAGGCAGGAGCCAGGTGCTTCTCCTGGTCTCCATGAGGGTGCAGGGCCCAAGCACTTGGGCCATCCTCCACTGCCTTCCCGGGCCACAGTAGAGAGCTGGACTGGAAGAGGAGCAACTGGGACAGAATCCAGCGCCCCAACCGGGACTAGAACCTGGGGTACCAATGCTGCAGGCGGAGGATTAGCCTATTGAGCCGCGGCGCCGGCCTTGGATGTTATTCTAAGTTGCAGCTTAAGTCATGTGCCACAATGTTGGTCTCTTCAGTTAGCTTCTCTCTCTCTCTCTCTCTCTCTCTCAGATTGTTATACATTTATTTGAAAGGCAGAGTTACAGAGAGAATGGGCAGGGGAAGATAGAGATCTTCTTCCATCCACTGATTCACTCCCCAAATGGCTGCAATGGTCAGAACGGGGCTGATCTGAAGCCAGGATACTGGAGCTTTTTCCAGGTCTCCTTTGTAAGTGCAGGGGCCCAAGCATTTGGGTCATCCTTTGCTGCTTTCCCAGACACTATAGCAGGGTGCTGGATGGGAAGTGGAGCAGCCAGGACCCAAACTGGTGCCTATATGAGATGCCGGCATTACTGTTGGAGGCTTTGCCCACTATGCCACACTGCAGGCCTCTCAGTTTTGTTTTTTTTTTTTTTTTTTGACAGGCAGAGTGGACAGTGAGAGAGAGACAGACAGAGAAATGTCTTCCTTTGCCGTTGGTTCACCCTCCAATGGCCGCCACAGCCGCACGCTGCGGCCGGCGCACCGCGCTGATCCAAAGCCAGGAGCCAGGTACTTATCCTGGTCTCCCATGGGGTGCACGGCCCAAGCACTTGGGCCATCCTCCACTGCACTCCCGGGCCACAGCAGAGAGCTGGCCTGGAAGAGGGGTAACCGGGACAGAATCCGGCGCCCCGACCGGGACTAGAACCCGGTGTGCCGGCGCCGCAAGGCGGAGGATTAGCCTAGTGAGCCGCGGCGCCGGCCTCAGTTGGCTTTTGAACTAAGAAAATCAGTATCTGGAGCAGGTGCAGTGGATTAGCAGGTTAAGTTGTCACTTGAGAGGACAGCATTCCATATCAGAGCACCATTCTGAATCCCAGCTTCTTATCCAACTTCCTGCTAATGTGCCTGGGAAGGCAGCAGACTATGGCCAAAGTCTTGGGGTCCCTGCCACCCGAACAGGAGACCTGGATGGAGTCCCCGGCTCCTGGATTTGGCCTGGCCCAGCCCTGGCTATTGTGGGCATTTGGAGAGTGAACCAGCAGATGGAATATTTCTCTCCCTCTGTGTCTTTATCACCTTGCCTTGCAAATAAATAAATACATCTTCAGTAAGTAAATACATAAAGTGAACGTCATTAATCTCCGGTTGCGGACTAGAAGCAGTGAAAAGTAGGGATAGCGCAGGAAGATAGGGAGGAAATTCAGCTAAAGAGAATGTGAAGACAGAACAAGCAAACAGGAAAGTGCACAGTTCCTGGGGTGGGTGTTTTACCTCGTGGTTCAGATGCCTGCATCTCACAGAGGAGGGCCTGGGTTTGCTTCCTGGCTCTGGGTCCTGATTCTAGCTCCTTGCTGATGTGGACCCAGGGAGGAAGTGGAGTGGCTCAAGTAGTTGAGTTCCCGCCACCCACCCGCCTCGGAGACCCGGCTTGAGTTTCTGGCTTCCTTCTTCAGCCTCCCACACGTTGCTGGCATCTGAGGAGTGAACCAGTGGACAGCAGCTTGCTGTTTCCCTCCGTCTGCCTTTCATACAAATAAACAGAAGTTAAAAAAAATTGTGTACTTCTTGATACTTATGTCAGAAATACTAAAAAAAATTTTTTAATTAACTTATTTGACAGGCAGAGACACAGACAAGGCTTCTACACACTGGTTCACTCCTCAAATTCCAGCAACAATTGGGACTGGGCAGAGGTACAGCCAGGAGCTGGGAATTCAATTTGGATCTCCCACATGAGTGATAGGAATCCAACTACTTGAGCAACCTGCTGCCTCCCAGGGTGTGTATTAGCAGGAAGCTGCAGTCCAGAGGTGGAGATGGGTATGAAAGCCAGGCACTCCAATGTGTGCTAAGGCTAGGCTAACCTGCCCCACAAATATTTTTATCACATTTGATTGATCAATTGAGGGAGTGTTAGCATCACTTGCCCTTGGTAATCAAGAAGTCATTCAAAAAGCACTGAAGTGTCTACAAGGAAGGCACTGCCTGCATTCAAGAGGCCTTTCTCTCTAGAGAGATATGAAAAGTCAGATAGAATGCAGGGAGATACAAATCAAGATCACAATTATTAATCTCACCTCACAGGGTCAGAATGGCTATTATCCAAGAGACAGTAACAAATGCTAGAAAGGATGTGGAGAAGGGGAACTTTTATATACTCTTGGTGGAAATCTCAATCAGTGCAGCAACTGTGGAAAACAATATGGAGATTTCTTGAAACACTAGAAATGGAACTGATGTAGGATCCAGCAATCTCACTACTGGGTACATACCCCAAAGACAAGAACTCATTATAGCAGCACTGTTCAGAATACCCAAAATATAGACTCAACACAAATGTCCATCATCAGATGAACAGCTAAAAAAAAAATGTGATACACACACACACTACAATATTATTCAACTATAAAAACAGAATGAAATCCTGTCATTTGCAGCAAAATGGATGAAAAAGAGGACATCATGTTGGGACAAATAAGCGAGACACACAGGTTCTCCCTTCTATGTGGGAGCTAAAAAAAAAAAATAATTTGAACACAGAATGTTGATTGATAGAAGCTGGAAGGGTTTTTCGATTAGAAAAACGGGAAGCTGGGTGAGGTTCATCACCTGTGACAAATATACAAACAAGTATACGAAATAGAGGGGAAGCAGTGAGGGGCGTATGGGAACTTTTGGCATTACTGTCCCACAGTTTTATTAAAATTAAGATAGAATGAAACTAGGTACACTAATGGAAGTATTATGGAGTGGCAGTCTAAGAGGAAGAATTAATTTTCACTGGTACATTCCTGCACAAGTGGCTAGTCTTTATTGGTGGCTTTATTTATTTGAAAGAGAGAGAAATGAATGAATCTTCCATTGACTGGTTCACTCCCCAGATAACTGCCAACAGCCAGGGCTGGGTGAGGCTGAAGCCAGAAATCCAGAACTGAACCCAGTCTCCCATGTAGGTGGCATCACCTACTGTCTCCCAGGTTGTGCAACAGCAGGAAGCTGGATCAGAAGCAAGGACTGGAACCCAGGCATTCCAATATGAGATTTGGTCAATCCAAGCAGCTTACATCCCTGTTGGCTTTCTTGATATTCCTGACTTTCCTGGGGCAAGACACTTTTCTAGGAATTGAAATTTCTGAAGTGGAAAAGCCATCACCATTTCCATCTAGGTTGAAAAGTGACAAAACATTTTAAAAACAATCATTTACAAAATTCAAGTTCCTGGCTATAAAGGAACTTTATATTGAAGGTGATAATGGTTTAATTTAGCCAATTCATCTCCCTCCCCCAACTATTTCACAACTGCTCCAAGTCATTTCCCCTTTTTAATTTTGGTTTCTGTTGAGATGAACTTCAGCACCAGGCTTTTCCAACTACTGGACAGTGTGGTCTGTGGTGAGTGGAGGAAATCACAAGTGTAGCCAACTTCTGCTGGACGTTGACTAGTTTAATGATGGGGGATTTCTGAAGTAAATGAGTAAGATCACATTTTTAGCGGATTTTTCCCTAGAGTACCATATTTTGTAGTGCTTTTGGCTAATGACAATAGAAATAGTATTTGATGAGGTTTATATTCTAAACCCAATGGTGGAATCTAAAATAACTGTTTTCTATCAAAGATCATTGTGATTCTAATGGACTAGCATTAAACTCTAGAGCTCCTTTGTATGTGTAGTGCCACTTGGCACAAAATGTCAGGAATTCCCTAAGGAACTTTTTGTTTCTACAAGATAAATCTTTAGTGTATTTCATATAGTAGGCATCCCATTTACTGCTTTTGCTTTTGTATTTATTAAGAGGGGAAAAAAGTTTAAAAACAGTGATTTCCCATTTTGTGCTAAATAGGTAGTACAAAATAAATGCTACAGTATTATACTTAATATTTTCTTTATAATAAGAACTTTTGTCAAGGAGTACCTATAATGACTAACAAAGAAATGATCACCTTTTGAAATTACCAAATTAAGTGTCAAAAATAATTCATCATTGCTAAATGACCCAGCATTACCTATACAATTTACTTGTTACTGATACGACTGCTTTCTAGGTAGACTAAGATTTTAGTCTATGCAGACTAAACCCATGGAAACCCATGGAAACAGCTGTATTTAAGTGAACATGCGCACTGACAGAAACAAGATATTTAGTTGCCTCATACCCGTAATCAGACTTAGATCCACAGCCAAAGTGATTTTGAGGCCCTTAGACTTATCCTAAGTACCTGCTTTGGCCTGTGGCCGACATGGAAGCCTCTCCCATAGGCTGACAACAGACATCCAGGTTGGCATTTCAGGGACAAAAGGGCCCTTGGGCCCATTTGACTGTCTTCATATGCTGATCTATCCAGAAAAGCTGAGGTATCTGAGAAACCAAAGGGCCCAGTTAGTCACTCACTTCTAGCAATTGGAATCACTGAAGTATTGGAGCCTAAGAGGCGAACCAGCACTATTATGGTTTCTGTATCAATTCTGAATTAAAAATACAGAAACACTATTCACCAATTACTATGGATATGTGTCTTCAGTGCTATGAGATTACTGTCATAAGAGTTTCATAAGAAAATAATTTTAGGGGCTGGCGCTGTGGCACAGCCAGTAAAACTGTCACCTACAGTGCCAGCATCCCATATGGGTGCCAGGTCCTGGCTGCTCCATATCCAGCTCTGCTATGGCCTGGGAAAGCAGTAGAAGAGGGCCTAAGCGCTTGGGCCCCTGCACCTGCATGGAGACCCGAAGGAGGCTCCTGGCTCATGGCTTCGGATCGGCGCAGCTCTGGCCACTGCAGCCACTTGGGGAGTGAACCAGCAGATAAAAGACTTCTCTCTCTCTCTCTACCTCTGTCTCTGTAACTCTACCTTTCAAATAAATAAATTTTTAAAAAGAAAGCATAATTTTATTGTATGATATAAAATAATTGCCTTTGTTCTCCCTCAATCAAGTTACCAAATTAGTATCCACATTGTGAGATGAGAGAAAACAATGGTGATTAAAAAAATTATTATTTGAAAGAGCAATAGAAGAAGAGACAGACTCTTCCATCTGCTGGCTCATTCATATAATGGCTGTGACAGGGCTGGGCCAGGCTGAAGCCAGGAGCCTGGAACATCTGGGTCTCCCACACAGGTAGCAGAGGCCCAATTATTCTATTTACTTACTAGAGAAAGAGAGAGAAAGCGTGCTCCCGTCTGCTGATTTACTCTCCAAATACCTGCAATGGCTGGTACTGAAACCAGGAAGTGGGAACTCAATCATGGCCTTCCACATGGGTTACAGGAACACAATTACCTGAGCCATCACTACTGCATCCCCAGGGTGTACCTTAACAGGAATCTGGAGTCGGAAGCCAGAGACAAGTACTGAACTCAGGCACTCTGATAGGAGACATGGGTGTCTTAACTGCTAGGTCAAATGCCTATAACAACAATGGTGATTTCTAATCTTTCTAGTTTTATGGGGCTTTCATTAATTTTAAAAACAATTACTGGAGCAAAATCTTTTAAAGAATTTAATTATAAAAATGTGTATATTTGCAAGCTACAGTGTGATATTTAAATTCATGTATACAGTGTGTATTGATTTAAACAGTAATCCACATTTCCCCTTCTCTGACATTACTTTATGATGGGAGGCTTGGAGCTTCCTTGTTCTATTTGTTCACAAAATATATATGAGGTTGTTGTGAACTACAGCCTCCCCACAATGCTGTGTGAAGTACAGAAATCTCATAAGTCAACTTTCACCCTACATATTGTATTCCAGTATTAGATATTAGCTGAATGATTCTGGATACTTTTGTATAGTCTCGATTTTTAGCCCTTATCTCAGGACTTTGCTATTGTTTTCTTTTTAAAAAACTATTATTTCTTTTCTTTTTGGACAGGCAGAGTGGATAGTGAGAGAGAGAAAAAGGTCTTCCTTTTGCCGTTGGTTCACCCTCCAATGGCTGCCACGGCTGACGAGCTGCGGCCTGCGCACCGCGCTGATCCGATGGCAGGAGCCAGGTACTTATCCTGGTCTCCCATGGGGTGCAGGGCCCAAGCACTTGGGCCATCCTCCACTGCACTCCCGGGCCACAGCAGAAAGCTGGCCTGGAAGAGGGGCAACCGGGACAGAATTTGGCGCCCTGACTGGGACTAGAACCCGGTGTGCCAGCGCCGCTAGGTGGAAGATTAGCCTAGTGAGCCGCGGCGCCAGCCTTCTTTTCTTCTTTTTTTTTTTTAATTTGAAAGACAGAGACCTAGAGAGATCTTCTGTCTGCTGGTTCACCCTCCAAATGGCCCCAATATCCAGGGTTGGACCAGATCCAAACCAGGAGCTAGGAATACAATCCAGGTCTCACATGTGGGTGGCAGGGACTCAAGTACTTGAGCCATCTAATGCCTCCCAGGATGCACATTAGCAGCTAATTTGATAGGAAGAAGAAGAGCCAAGACTCAAACCAGCCTCTCCAATATGGGATGCAGCATCCCCAGTGGTATCTTAACCACTGTGCCAAAGCTTCCCCCTTTGATACTGCTTTCTTTTCTTTTCTTTTTTCTTTCTTTTTTTTTTTTTTTGGACAGGCAGAGTGGACAATGAGAGAGAGACAGAGAGAAAGGTCTTCCTTTTCTGTTGGTTCACTCTCCAATGGCCGCCGCGGCCGGCGCACCGCGCTGATCCTCAGCCAGGAGCCAGGTGCTTCTCCTGGTCTCCCATGCGGGTGCAGGGCCCAAGCACTTGGGCCATCCTCCACTGCACTCCCTGGCCACAGCAGAGAGCTGGCCTGGAAGAGGGGCAACCGGGACAGAATCCGGCACCCCGACTGGGACTAGAACCCGGTGTGCCGGCGCCGCAGGCAGAGGATTAGCCTATTGAGCTGCGGCACTGGCTTGATACTGCTTTCTAACCTAGTACAACCAGGCAAAAATTACTAACTTTCAAAATAGACCAACCAGTTAAGACTTTTAATTTGGCATACCATGTAATGGGCAAAGTCCTTATGAGTAGGCAAATATGCAAGATTTTTTTTTCAGGTTTACTTTTAGCCTCATGACATGTCTCTTTGAGGAACACTGCACGAAGTTACAAGAGGCTTACCATATTAGAACTGCCAAAACAGTACACATTGTTTAAAACTATTTTTTCCCAGATACACAAAAATCACAATTACAACCTCTTTCCCTTCATAAATTAATGACAAGCCTGTCATAACCTAATAAAGCTATTTTAATAAGTGCTAAACAGCTATCTCCTATCTATACTCTGGTACTGACTGAATTATTCGCACTTTAAAAGTCTCCTGTAAAGTGAAAGCTTGATGGTGGTATCACAGGCGTCATCAGTCAGTCTGTGGCAGTTCATTCACAGTTGCTTGTCTTTGCTGAGTCGTCTTCACAAATCTGAGCAGATTGACAATGGCAGCAGGTGTCACTCCAGGTATACGACTGGCGGCCCCGATCTAACAAGAAAATGATGAGAGGAGTGTAAGTGAGCAATGGCAAATCAAATCTATTTTCCTCTTAATACACCTATACAGTTTAGTTTATAAAACATTTCCATAAATATCAATCTTAATGTAGCTTCAAAACAACCTTGTGGCCAGCACCGCGGCTCAATAGGCTAATCCTCTGCCTGTGGTGCCAGCACCCCAGGTTCTCGTCCCGGTTTGGGCGCCAGATTCTGTCCCAGTTGCTCCTCTTCCAGTCCAGCTCTCTGCTGTGGCCCAGGAAGGCAGTGGAGGATGGCCCAAGTGCTTGGGCCCTGTACCCGCATGGGAGACCAGGAGAAGCACCTGGCTCCTGGCTTCGGATCAGCGCAGCGCGCTGGCCGTAGTGGCCATTTTGGGGGTGAACCAACGGAAAATGAAGACCTTTCTCTCTGTCTAGTTCTGCCTGTCCAAAAAATAAATAAATAAATAAAAACAAAAACAAAAACACACCAACCTTGTAGAGTAAAGGAATGGTGCTTATTACTTCTGTAATCTTACAAATGGGAAACTGAGGCTCAGAGAAGTTACAATGATTCTGAGATCACACACTAACAGATGTTATAGTACCTACTGTTTTGTTTGTTTAAAAAATTTTTTTTAATTTATTTTTTAAGGAATACAAATTTCGTAAGTACAACTTTAGGAATATAGTGATTCTTCCTATGATATCAGCCCTCCCACCCACACTCCCATTCCTCCTCCTCCTCCCTCTCCCCTTGCCAGACCCATTCTCCAATAAGATTCTTTTTTTTTTTTTTTTTTTTTAAGATTTATTTATTTGAAAGGTGGAGCTACAGAGAGGGGGAGAGAGAGAGAGAAGTCTTCTATCCCTGTCCTCTGGTTCACTTCCTAGATGGCCGCAACTGCCAGAGCTGAGCCAGGAGTCCCCTCTGGGTCTCCCACGTGGGTGCAGGGGCCAAAGGACTTGGGCCATCTTCTATTGCTTTCCAGGCCAAGGAGAGAGCTGGATTAGAAGTGGTGGAGCAGCCAGGACTAGAACTGGTGCCCATATGAGATGCTAGCACTGCAGACGGCGGCTTTGCCTGCTATGCCACAGCGCCAGTCCCAAGATTCATTTTCAATTGACTTTAAGAGTACCTACTTTTTGAAGATGGTGGAATAGGAAACTACATAAAGTGCTAGGCTAGGGCTAAATAGTTAAAAAAAAAAAAAAAAAAGGAAGTGTAGGAAGTGCATTCTTTGGGGCAAATCAGAGAGAAAACTGCAATGGAAAGTCTACAGAAGGAAGAACGCTGTGGACCTGCGTGCAAGGTGCACAACACATGACTCCAGCAGCCGAGAGCTGGAGAAAGCAGCAGCTTTGGAGACTGAGGTGAGATCAGACTGCAGCAAAGCATGCCTCTGGTGACAGAGCTGGAGGAAGAGCAGGGCATGACTCTGGCCTGGAGCCCTGGTGTGGAGAGGGTGCCTGGGGACCCTGTGGAAAAAAAGGGGTCAGGCTTCTGTCACCCCAACCCCCCAACAATGGCACCTGGCGATCAGCTAGAGGGCAGGCGCCATTTAGGGCACAAGCAGCAGCTGTGGAATCCCTTGTGCAGGTGTACAGCAACCGGCTGAGACAGACTCCATCTCCGAGTACTGGTGGCAGCAGCTCCGGTGCATGTGGCAGGGAGAAGGCAACACGGCCGGGGGCTCTTGTGCATGCGTGTGATCCCGAGACTCCAGCAGAGGGAAAAATCTGCATTCCCCACTGACTCTGAGTCTGGCTGGGAGGAACGACAGGGGGCTGGGCACCCACCTAAGACTGTGAGGTACCCCCAGCCTCCCAACATACCACAGGCTCTGGGGCTCAAGCTGCCTAGGTGGAGCACCCCAAGCAGCTGGCTCTGGGACAAACTGCCTCTCTGTGGATCAGTCAGGCTGGTGGGGTGGAGCGGACCCTCTGCAGCCCATGACTGTGGGCGCCTTGTGTGCTGAGTCTGTGGGGACTCTGTGGCTGCCCGAGAGGACGCAGGATGTGGCTGGGTCTCTGGCCAATCACTATGTGTGACTCCACGTGCTTGGAACTCCCTGGTTGCCTGGGTGAGTCATTCAGTGGGATCCGTGTTCAGACTGAGAACTGTGCAGATCATTTGTGTGGTTCCCATGGCAGCACGGATGAGTATTGCACCTACTGGGGCTAACATCTGGGCACTGACCACATTGGTAGAGAGGAGGTGAGGGTATGATCACAGCAGGAGCTGATCATGAACAAGAGATCTACAATGCCCAACTTGGGTGTCACCCTGGATACTCATCCCACCCTGAGCACTGACCAGAGCTCCCTGGCCACACCACGCACACACCTCTGTGTATTCACTGCAAATACAGACATTACACTAAGCCAAAGTCCAAAGATACATGCTATCAGAGGAAAAAACCAAAGTATCTCCACAAATGCCTAAAAATAAATGCAGAAATTCAAGAAATAATAAGACAACATGCCCCCCAAAAGGAACACAACACTTAAATATTAGAATGTGAAGAAATCGATGAAATGAATGCCTGAAACAGAATTCAAAGATTAATCACAGGATTAGTCAAACACAAACAGAATCAAATCCAAGAATTCAAGAAATCTGTACATGACATGAATGAAAATTTTTCCCATGAAATTGACATTTTATAGAGAAATCAAGGGGCTGCCGCTGTGGCACAGCGGATTAACGTCCTGGCCTGAAGCACCAGCATCCCATATGGATGCTGGTTTGAGACCTGGCTGCTCCACTTCCGATCCAGCTCTCTGCTATGGCCTGGGAAAGCAGTAGAAGATGGCCCAAGTCCTTGGGCCCTTGCACCTAGTGGGAAACCCAGAAGAAGCTCCTGGCTCCTGGCTTCGGATAGGCACTGCTCCGGCCATTGAGGCCAACTGGGGAGTGAACCATCGGATGGAAGATCTCTCTCTCTCTCTCTCTGCCTTTGCCTTTCTGTGTAACTCTTTGAAATAAATAAATAAATCTTTAAAAAAAAAAAGAGCGAGAAATCAAAATGAAATAATTAGAAATGAGAAAAATTCAAGAGACCAAATAAAAAATACAGTGGGAAGACTTAACAATACACTTGGTGAGGCAGAGGAAAGAATTTTCTAGCTAGAAGACAAATTTTTGGAAATTTTTCAGTCAGACCAAAAAAAGAAATTAGAAAAATTAAACAGTGTTGGAGATCTTTGGGATACTATCAAAGACCCAACACATGCATCTTAGGAGTTCCTGAAGGTGGGGAAAGAGAGAATGGATTAGGAAGGCCTATTTAAGGGCCAGCGCTGTGGTGTAACAGGTAAAGCCACTGCCTGCAGTGCTGGCATCCCAAGTGCTGGTTTGAGTCCCAGATGCTCCATTTCCAATCCAGCTCTCTGCTATGGCCTGGGAAAGCAGTGGGAGATGACTCAAGTGCTTGGCCTCTGAACTCGTGTGGGAGACCTGGAAGAAGCTCCTGGCTCCTGGCTTCGGATCGGCCCAGCTCCAGCTAATGTGGCCATTTGGAGAGTGAACCAGTGGATGGAAGATTTCTCTCTGCCTCTGCCTCTCTGTAACTCTGCCTTTCAAATAAATAAATAAATAAATAAATCTTTAAAAAATAAAAACAAACAAACAAACAAAAAGGTCTATTTAGTGAAACAGTTATAGAAAACTTCCCCAATTTGGAGAGAGAAAGGGATGTCCAAGTACAGGAAGCACATAGATCTAACTCCTAATAAACATGACCAGAAAAGATCTTCATCACGACACACTGTATTCAAACTTTCAACAGTAAAACATAAAGAAAAGATTGTAAAATGTGCACAGGAGAAACATCAGATTACTTTCAGAGGATCTCCAATTAGACTCACAGTGGACTTCTTATCAGAAACCCTACAGGCTAGGCAAGAATGGCAAGATATATTCCACGTCTTAAGAGAAAAAAACTGTCAAGCCAGAATACTGTACCCTGCAAAGCTCTCATTTATGAATGAAGGTGAAATAAAGATCTTCCATAACAAACAGAAATTGAAATAATTTATCTCCACCTGCCCAGCCTTACAAAAGATGTTTAAGGATGTGCTACAAACAGAAACACAAAAACATGGTCATCACTATGAAAGAAGGTAAAGGCAGAAAATCTCCCAGTAAAAGTACAAAGGAAATCCAAAGTAAACAACAGGAATATTATCAAGTCACCTTGAATGAAAAGGGACTCAACTCTCCAGTTAATAGATACAGACTGGCAGGATGAATTAAAAAACAAAACCTGGGGCTGGTGTTGTGGCGCAGAGGGTTAAAACACTGGCCTGCAGTGCCAGCACCCCATATGGGTGCCAGTTTGAGTCCCGGCTGCTCCACTTCCAATCCAGCTCTCTGCCGTGCCCTGGGAAAGCAGTAGAAGATGGCCCAAGTCTTTGGGCCTCTGCACCCTCATGGGAGACCTGGAAGAAGCTCCTGGCTCCTGGCTTTGATTGGTGTAACTCAAGCCATTGCAGCCATCTGGGGAGTGAACCCACAGATGGAAGACCTCTTTCTCTCTCTCTCTCTCTCTGCCTCTGCCTCTCTGTAACTCTGCCTTTCAAATAAATAAACAAATATTCAATAAATAAATAAAATCAGAGGTGAAAAATAAAATGTAACAACAGATACCACAGAAATAAAAAGAATCATCAGAATTACTAAAAAGAGCTGTATGGCAACAAACTGGGAAACCTAGAAGAAATGGATAGATTCCTGGACACATACAATCTACCAAAATTGAGTCATGAGCACACAGAAAACCTAAACAGACCAATAACCAAGACAGAGATTGAATCAGTAATAAAGACCCTCCCCCAACAAAGAAAAGCCTAGGACCGATGGCTTCACTGCTGAATTCTACCAGACATTTAAGGAAGAACTAACTCCAAATCTTTTCAAGCTACACAAAACAACTGAAAGGGATAGAATCCTCCCAAATTCCTTCTATGAAGCCAGCATCACTTTAATTCCAGAACAGAAAAAGATACAACAGAGAAAGAAAACTAGAGATCGAGATCCCTGATGAACATAGATGCAAAAATCCTCAACAAAATACTAGCTAATTGAATCCAACAACACATGAGAAAGATCATTCACCTGGACCAAGTAGGATTTATCGCTGGAATGTGGGGATGGTTCAACATTTGCAAATCAATAAATCTGATACATCACATTAACAAACTACCTGTTTTCTTACCGTCTGTGGGCGACTGAAATGTAATTTCTCCCGAACTTCCTGAGACAAAGACACATCCTTGATCGTCAAATAATCCAGGTCTTTTGGCAGCTGGAGAGTTTCATCTCGCTGAACTTCCTTTATTTCTTGTAGCTGATGGAACACTACTGATTCATAAGCGGCTGAGGAGTAAAACGAGAATTCTATTATGCTACCCAGGTTATACTAACAGCTTCCATTTGTATAGCCTTTTGCTATTTACAAAGAGTTTTGCATACATCATGTCATTCAACATTCATCTCAACACCATCAGACAGATGGGCAGGTGTCACCTCTGCAGGTGAGGAAGCTGAGGCTAAGACAAAGGGAGTATCTTGCATATTAGCTACAACATTCTGGCTAGTAGTATAATGTACTTTTCATTTCAAATATCTGGAAAATTAAAGATAAAAACAGAATTTGCTTTCCCTCTCAATTCAAATCTTGGTTGGAACAACTCCCTCAATACACTGTAGGTTTGAATTTTAATTCTCAAGATAGATATTGCTCCAAGAAAAATGACATTCTAAACTAGCTTGATATAAAGCTGTAATATTAAAAAGTGGAGCTACTTAGTTGAAAACCCATAATTTAAATAATTATTTAAAGTTTTATTCAGAAGTGACATTAAGATGATAATCCAGCAATTATTTTATAATTCAAATATTCTGTCCTTAGAAAAACCCAAAACTTCTGTTTAAACCTAAACTGAGGTGGTCATTCTGTCCTGTTCAAGAAAGGGGTTCCCTGAGGTCTTGGTAGCACCTGCTTCTGTCCTTGAGTAGCAGCTGGAAAATCTCACCTCTGAGCCTCATCTGCCAATGAGTTACTTGCCCTCTGACCACGGGCCCTGTGTCATCACTCTCGGCCTCAACTTCTTCAGAAACTGCCAAGTCTGGCATGATGACTTCTGAGTGTCTTTACAAAAAGACAGTTGTGAACTACACAAGCTTTGCATCCAGACAACCCAGGTTCAACCCAGGCTCTGCCACTCACCAGCTGTGATCTCAGACAACTTACCACTTCTCTGTAAAATAAGGACAACAATGCTAGTATGCAAATTCAAGAGGCAGGCCTACGTGTCAAATGACATAATTCCTCTAAGGGTGTGCTACAATACTGTAATGCAACAGATCTTAGGAAAACAAATTGTAAATCTTAATAAACAAATTTATGACTCATAAATAGACTCTTCAAGGTATCACAGAATATTAACAGGAATATGCTAGAGGATATATTATTTATTTGCTTAAATAATATAACAAGAGAGTTAAATGAAAAAAGAATCTGACAGTGATTTCTGCCCTTAAGAAATCTGTTGTCGGCTGGCGCCGCGGCTCACTAGGCTAATCCTCTGCCTTGCGGCGCCGGCACATCCGGTTCTAGTCCCGGTTGGGGCACCGGATTCTGTCCCGGTCGCCCCTCTTCCAGGCCAGCTCTCTGCTGTGGCCAGGGAGTGCAGTGGAGGATGACCCAAGTGCTTGGGCCCTGCACCCGCATGGGAGACCAGGATAAGTAACTGGCTCCTGCCATCAGATCAGCGCGGTGCGCCAGCCGCAGCACGCCGGCCGCGGCGGCCATTGGAGGGTGAATCAACGGCAAAGGAAGACCTTTCTCTCTGTCTCTCTCTCTCACTGTCCACTCTGCCTGTCAAAAAATAAAAAAATAAATAAAAAAAAGAAATCTATTGTCTAGTAGCAATTTTAAAACCAATTAGTGTACTATATTTTAACCAAATGTGTTTTCTTTTTAACCCCAAACAGACTACTAGAGTCTTTATATACACCAAGGTCTTTAAAGGATAAACACAACCAGTAGCAACACTGTAGTTGAAGGCAGAGGTTTCGTATCAACAAATTATTGTTCTGGATTATTCTGACCTGAACCTGATGATTACTGGACAAAATAAGACTGCAAACCAAGTTTAAAATATATCACTTAGTCACTATTTCCTGGTGCTAACAGTCCTACACGCTTAATAAAGTAATTTTTCTCAACAAAGAAATCATGGCGGTGAAGTAAAAGGTCAACATCACTTCTTGTGCATGAGTGTATTACCAGAACAAGTTTCTGGTGAGGTTCCTTCTGTGCCAGATTTTTATAAACTTTCATGGCAGGATGGTAGGTAGTACATGGGTCACCCCAGGTGACAGACCTCTGTGGAAGTGAAGGGAAACACGACCTCTAAAAAGAGTGCTGCATTCTCACCACCCTGGCTGTGCCCTAAGGTTTTAAAGCCTCCCTGTTTGAGCAGCCCACCACTGTCCAGCTTTTCCTACCCTTCTCCCCATCCTATACCTTGCTTTTTCCACTACATAATCTTCTACCCCTGGGGGAAAAAAAACAAAGTGCAGAAGGCAGTATTATTCTCAGTATTTTTGTTTATGTTTGAAATCTTTTATAATGAAAAACTTGAAAAAAAAATACAATGCAACTACCAAGGACACCAGTGGCTTAGGTAGTTGATCAACTGACCTAGAGTATGAGAGTTCATCATGTGTTACAACGTAAGAGGCAGACTCTAAATCTCTGTGCGATACAAAATGAGTATTTGTGAGTGGTAGAGTACTTCATATGTTGTCATAGCCAAAGACAGTATTATTTCTCTCATTATTAGAATGTTAGATAAGGAGAATGTAAATAAGGAAGCTCAATGTACAAAATAAGTGGTTTTCTTTTTAAAGGAAGGCTTTTATTGTAGCACTTCCCAGACTTAAAATGTGCAAACAAAACACCTGAGGATCTTGTTAAATGCAGATTCTCCCTCTAGAAATGGAGCCCAAGACTCCGCATTTCCAGCAAGCTGGCAGGTACTGCAATGCTGCTGGTTGGGGAGCACACTGAGTAGCACAGCGCCTAACACTATGCTGGTCCTTTGGAAATGACAGCTCTTCTTGGCATAGAGCTCTTAATGGACCTGCTGTCCTTTCATAACTTAGACAAGTAGGTAAAGATAGTACATAGGTATCTTAGGCAAAAAACCCTATTTTCTACCTTCTATTTTGAGTCTTTCGGCTAGTTCTCTACATTGAGTGTACTTCTTGAAGAGGTCTGGAACAACCTTGGCCAATGACTCCATGTCAACTTCCTCATGCTTCAGAACATCTAGAGCACTGAAAATACACAAAAGACTCATTAACGTAAGGATCCATATCATGTAAGGCAGACTAGGAGCGAGACTCCTTGGAACAACACCGAATCTCAGAATGAATAATACCGAAAGATAAGCTTCCCTGTTCCTAAGCACAGTGAGCAAAGCAGCAACACTAATGTAGGCCATCAATCAGATTTAATATTGATGTTCCCCAATTCCTTATCATGAGAATTAAGTTGCTGATAGAGTGGCATGGCTATAATCTGTCCTCCTTTTCATCGAAGGATACAATATCCTCTGATAACAAGGGTTTCATCACATCCCCTAAGCACAGGCAAGATGCTTTACATCTAAGCCATGTTAGGTCCTGGTGTTGCATCAGTGCATGATCCTTTTGCATGCTGGAAACTGTGAAGAAGACAGAACCACCTAAAGAACAAGAGGTCACTGTGAGCATGCTTTTAAGTCTCTGCAAAACTGATAAATATGGGCCAGCCTCGTGGTGCAGCAAGTTCTGCAACCATCTACAATGCCAGCATCCCATGTGAGCACCAACTGGAATACCAGCTGCTCCACTTTTCATCCAGCTCCCTGCTAATGCACCTGGGAAAGCAGCAGAAGATGGCCCAAGTACTTGGGTCCCTGCACCCACTCCAGGTGGGAGACCTGGATGAAGTTTCTGGCTTTGACCTGGTCCAGCCCAGCTATTGTGGCCATCTGGGGAGTGAGCCAGTGGATAGAAGATCTCTGTCCTTCTCTCCCCCTCTTTGTGTAACTGTCTTTCAAATATGTAAAGCATTAAAAAACAAAAAACTAATCAATATTATATACAAGTTTATAAGTAGTCTTCCATTCTGCTTTCTCCTGATTTGGCATAATCTCCATTTCAAATTTTTGCCACAGAGAACTTTTGAATTCTCAGTTCTACTTCTACTATCCATGATACATAGGCTAAGTCTCCTGGGCGAAAGGGGACTGTTAGAAAAATTTCCAGGCAACTTACACAGGTTACCACAAGAACATGCTGAAGTGAGATTTCCAAATACTATTTGTCACTCATTGAAATCAAACTACTGACAGAAACTTCAGGTATGTTTAGTCTCTAGAAGTTCTGGTGCTTCTTTGAATCCTTTTTGCACTACTTTCAGATTTTCTCTCTTTCTTTTTTTTTTTAAAGAATTATTTATTTATTTGAAAGTCAGAGTTACAGAGAGAAAAGGAAAGGCAGAGAGAGGCCGGCACCGTGGCTCAATAGGCTAATCCTCCACCTTGTGGCGCCGGCACACCAGGTTCTAGTCCCGGTCGGGGCGCCGGATTCTGTCCCGGTTGCCCCTCTTCCAGGCCAGCTCTCTGCTGTGGCCTGGGAGTGCAGTGGAGGATGGCCCAAATGCTTGGGCCCTGCACCCCATGGGAGACCAGGATAAATACCTGGCTCCTGGCATCGGATCAGCGCAGCGCGCGGACTGCGGCGGCCATTGGAGGGTGAACCAACGCCAAAGGAAGACCTTTCTCTCTGTCTCTCTCTCACTGTCCACTCTGCCTGTCAAAAAAAAAAAAAAGAAAGAAAGAAAGAAAAGAAAAAAGAAAGGCAGAGAGAGAGAGGGAGATGTCTTCCATCCGCTGGTTCACTCCCCAATTGGCCGCAATGGCCGGAGCTGTGCCAATCCAAAGCCAGGAGCCTCTTCTGGGTCTCCCACGTGGGTGCAGGGGCCCAAGGATTTGGGCCATCTTCTACTGCTTTCCCAGGCCAAAGCAGAAAGCTGGATTAGAAGTGGAGTGGCCGGGTCTAGAACTGGTGGCCATATGGGATGCCGCACTGCAGGCCAGGGTGTTAACCCGCTGCGCCACAGCGCTGGTCCCAGATCTTCTCTTTCATTTTTTTTTTTTTTTTAATTTGACAGGTAGAGTTACAGATAGTGAGAGAGAGAGAGACAGAGAGAAAGGTCTTCCTTCCGTTGGTTCATTCCCCAAATGGCTACCACGGCTGGCGCTGCACCGATATGAAGCCAGGAGCCAGGTGCTTCTCCTGGTCTCCCATGGGGTGCAGGGCCCAAGCACTTGGGCCATCCTCCACTGCCCTCCCGGGCCACAGCAGAGAGCTGGACTGGAAGAGGAGCAACTGGGACTAGAACCGGCACCCATATGGGATGACAGAGCCACAGGCAGAAGATTAACCAAGTGAGCCACGGCGCCAGCCCAGATCTTCTCTTTCAGTATTTCAATATCATACCCCTGTACCAACTCAACCCCAGATTCTCTCCTAAGGTAGAATTAACTACAAACCATTTGTTGCTCTGTTAATTATTATTTCATTTACACATGCTTTTTTTTCAGTCTAATTCATTTAAAGGAATACTGCTGTAGCAATTTTTACAGGAACAGAAAATTTCAGGGCTAGTGGTGCCGTGGGTTAATCCGCTGTCTGCAGAGCTGGCATTCCATATTCTATCACAGTCCGGCATTACCACTGTTTGCTGATGCTCAACTCCATATCCCTTCTTCAGATGGCCTGCTCTAGGACAAGGAATTCTCTCTCTTCTTAAAAAATATTTATTTATTTGAAAGGCAGAGTTACAGAGGGAAGGAGAGAGATTTCCCATCATTGGTTCATCCCCCAAATGGCCGCAACAGCCAGGACTAGGCCAGGCTGAAGCCAGGAACCAGGAGCTTCTTGTGGGTCTCATGTGGGTATAGGGGCCCAAGCACTTGGGCCACCTTCTACTGCTTACCCAGGTCACCAGTAGGGAGCCAGATGGGAAGTAGAGCAGCCAGGAATTGAACCAGTGCCCATATGGGATGCTGGCATTACAGGCTGTGGCTTTAATCCACTGAGCCACAGCACTGGCCCCAGGAATTCTCTCACTACAAATAATAGGTCATTGTTGTCATATTCTAGTAGATGAATTAGGTCAACTCATTACCAAGATAAGCAACAATGGAACCATAGGATTCTAAAACAATGTTAGGCCCGCACCACAGTTCACTAGGCTAATCCTCTGCCTGTGGCGCCAGCACATTGGGTTCTAGTCCCAGTTGGATTCTGTCCCGGTTGCTCCTCTTCCAGTCCAGCTCTCTGCTGTAGCCCGGGAGTGCAGTGGAGGATGGCCCAGGTCCTTGGGCACTACACCCGCATGGGAGACCAGGAGAAGCACCTGGCTTCTGGCTTCGGATCAGTGCAGTGCTCCGCCTGCAACGCACTGGCCATAGCGGCCACTTGGGGGGTGGTGAACCAAAGGAAAGGAAGACCTTTGTCACTGTCTCTCTCTCTCTCACTGTCTAACTCTGCATGTCAAAAACAACAACAATGTTTATAAGATTTTGAGCTATTCTCAAGTCTAAACTTCGAGACCAGCTTTGAATCAAGTCTAAGCCTCAGAACATAGACCTCTGGGACACAAAGAACAAATTAGCACACTTCAGCAGAACCTGTAAGAGACTTCTGAGCTATCTAAATACATCAATGTGCTTCTCTGTAATCTTTATGTATCCCTGAAATACCTGTTCAGAGGCTGGTTCAACTTATAGAACACAGCACTCATGCAGAGAGGAATATCTCCCATGCACTGGATTACTCCCCAAATGTCCAAAACAACTGGGGCTGGGTCAGGCCAAAGTCAGGAACTGGGAACTCAATCTTGGTCTCCCACACAAGTGCCAGAGACTCAACTATTTGAGGCACCATCTGCTGCTTCCCAGGGTGCACACAAATATGAATGGGGAGGAGAGCTGGAACCTGAGCCCAGGCACTCTGACCTGGGATGCAGGCATTCCAAGTGGCATCTTTTTTTTTTTTTTGACACGCAGAGTGGGCAGTGAGAGAGAGACAGAGAGAAAGGTCTTCCTTTGCCGTTGGTTCACCCTCCAATGGCCGCCACGGCTGGCGCGCTGTGGCCAGCACATCACGCTGATCCAAAGCCAGGAGCCAGATGCTTCTCCTGGTCTCCCATGCGGGTGCAGAGCCCAAGGACTTGGGCCATCCTCCACTGCACTCCCGGGCCACAGCAGAGAGCTGGCCTGGAAGAGGGGCAACTGGAACAGAATCCGGCACCCTGACCGGGACTAGAATCCGGTGTGCCAGCGCCGCAGGCAGAGGATTAGCCTAGTGAGCCGCAGCGCCAGCCCCAAGTGGCATTTAACTGCTATACCAAATACATTCTCTGGCTCTTTTTGATAGGCAGACTTAGACAGTGAGACAGACAGAGAGAAAGGTCTTCCTTTCCGTTGGTTCACTCCCCAAATAGCTGCTACAGCCAACACACTGCGCCGATCCGAAGCCAGGAGCCAGGTGCTTCCTCCTGGTCTCCCATGTGGGTGCAGGGCCTAAGCACTTGGGCCATCCTCCACTGTCCTCCCGGGCCACAGCAGAGAGCTGGACTGGAAAAGGAGCAACCGGGACAGAATCTGGCACCCCAACCCGGACTATATCCCAGGGTACCGGCACCACAGGCGGAGGATTAGCCAAGTGAGCCGTGGCGCTGGCCTATTTCCTAGCTCTCTTAAATTTAAACAAGCAGGGGCAGTGCTGTGGTATAGAAGACAAAGCCTCTGCCTGGAGGGGGTGCCAGTTCGAATCCCAGCCGCTCCACTTCCGATCCTTGGGCCCCTGCACCCCCGTGGAAGACACATTAGAAGCTCCTAGCTTTGGCTTAGCCCAGCCCCAACTGTTGTGGTCATTGGGAGAGTGAACCAGCGGACAGAAGACATCTCTCTCTCTATCTCTCCTCCTCTCTATCTCTGCCTTTGAAATAAAAAATAAATCTCAAAAAAAAATTAACTTAAATAAGCAAGGACAGAGCTGGAGACTGAGTAAATTATAAACTGTTCACACTACTGCCATTTTTCCAGCCACATACCTGGTAAACAGTTATATACCCAGCAGTAGTCTGAATGTTGGTGTCTCTCCCCAAATTTGTATGTTAGAACCTAATCCCCAAAATGACAGTATTAAGAAGTAGTGCCTTTAGGTGATTGAATCATAAATAAGTGAAAATAAGGTGATAAATATTAGACCATAATAAATACCAATTTAAAATTTCAATTACAATAATGATAATAACCCTGGTAACATAAAAGCAAAATAGAAATATGTCAGATTGCTAATTAAGGAAGGAGCACTTAAAAAGGCTAGAGAATAGGGGCTGGCATGGTGGTGTAGCGGGTAAAGCCGCCACCTGCAGTGCTGGCATCCCAAATGGGCACCCGTTCGAGTCCCGGCTGCTCCACTTCTAATCCAGCTCTCTGCTATGGCCTGGGAAAGCAGCAGAAGATGGCCCAAGTCCTTGGGCCCCTGCACCCACGTGGGAGATCCAGAAGAAGCTCCTGGCTCCTGGCTTCAGACCATCGCAGCCAGCCATTGTGGCCAACTGGAGAGTGAACTAGCGGATGGAAGAGCTCTCTCTCTCTCTCTCTACCTCTCCCTTTCTCTGTGTAAATCTTTCAATTAAATAAATAAATCTTGAAAAAAAAAAAAAAAGACTAGAGAATAAAATGAGCATATATTTAAGGCCACAAAAACTATCACAAGAAAAATGGAAGCTAAAAAGGGAGGATAAAATATACCAGAGCCATAGCTGCTAGAAAAATGCCAACAATGTGCACAGTATGCTTCTCAGCAACAAAACTGTAGATCTGGGGTAGGCACTTAGCATGGTAGGTATGGTACCTGTACAGCAAGTGCAGCAGAGTGCTTAGGTTCAAGTTCCTGTTCTGCCTCAATTCCAGCTTCCTGCTAACATGCACTCTGAGGCAGCAGGTGATGGTTCAAGTGGCTGAGTCCCTGCCACCCATGTGGGAGACTGTGCTGGCTTCAGCCTGGGCCAGACCTGGATGCTGCAGGTATTTGGGGAATGAACCCAGCAAATGGGAGATCCCTGTCCCTTTGTCTTTCAAATAAATTAAATAAATAAGTAAATAAATTATAGATTTATACCCTTTGACATCCTCTCCTACCTTAATTAGTTTACATCTTTAAAAAATTTTTATTTATTTACTTTTTATTTTTTTTGACAGGCAGAGTGGATAGTGAGGGAGAGAGATGGAGAGAAAGGTCTTCCTTTTGCCATTGGTTCACCCTCCAATGGCCGCCGCGGCTGGTGTGCTGCGGCTGGCGCACCGCGCTGATCCAAAGGCAGGAGCCAGGTGCTTCTCCTGGTCTCCCATGGGGTGCAGGGCCCAAGCACTTGGGCCATCCTCCACTGCACTCCCGGGCCACAGCAGAGGGCTGGCCTGGAAGAGGGGCAACCGGGACAGAATCCGGCGCCCCGACCGGGACTAGAACCCGGTGTGCCGGCGCCGCAAGGCGGAGGAGTAGCCTAGTGAGCCGCGGCGCTGGCCATATTTACTTTCATTTTCTTAAAAGACAATGAGACATACACACACAAAACAAACACGCACACACAAGCTGAAGCTAGGAACTTGGAATTCCATCTGGGTCTTGCATGTTGGCAGGGTTCCAAGCATTTAAGCCATCATTGGTTGCCTCCCAAGTTGCATCAGCAGCAAGCTGGATCAGAACTGGAATAGCTGGAACTGAAACCAGCACCCCAATATAGGATGTGGACATCGTAAGCAGCAACTTAACCTGCTGCACCAGTTTTCAGTCTATAATGGGTAAAATCAATGGTGAAATATACAGATTTTTAATTATGCAAAGTCATTAGGAATATATCTCAAGAGCAAAAATGTTTTATATTAATGTCCTTTAGACCCAGAGTCAATATAACTAGAATAATGAAAACAAGGACAAAACAATCTAAAATGCAGCAAGGAAGTCTTCACGTGAGTCAGAATTCATAAATACTCTACTGTGTTTAAAGGGTTTCCTTTGTTGTAGCTCATGACAATGAGACCACACTCATTGCTCGAAGCCTAGAACACAGATAACTGTATTTCTAGGTTTGGGCTTCCTAAATCTTAGGAATGGGAGCTGCAGAGAAACTATATAAAAAATAAAAATTACTTAGATTATATATAAATGATGACTGAGATTTGCAGTTTTATACAAATACCGAACACCATGGTATAATGGCAGAAATTTTTAAAGTAAACTTAGCTTCTAATATTAATCAGTTTTCAAATGCTTTGCAAGTAATTTAAAGACTGTAGCTCTTTTTCCTAAAAGTTCAGTGTTAGAATATACATATATATATAATTTTTTTTAAATTTGAGGTTGAGCATCATGTTCCCTCAAATTTGCTTTTAAGACTTATTTATGTGGTACAGTGTAACAATTCAATACACATAGTCATATACATGACCAATCAGGTTAATTTGCATTTCTATCTACTTACTTTTCTTTTGATCAACACACAACAATTGCACATATCTACGGAGTACAACGTGACATTTCAACAAGTGTATGCACTATGTACTGATCAAACCAAAGTAAGCAACATTTCTCTCTTCCTGATATCACTCACTCTATGCATGGAGCCTTGGAACTCCTCTCCTCTATCCACTCATAAAATCATACATATTTTTAATACTCAAGAAGTAGATGAGTTACATCTAAAAGATTCTGAAAAGGAGCTAAAATAAAATTTCGTTCATTTAAAATGTTTATGTAGGGGCTGGAGTTGCAGTGTAGCAGGCGAAGCTGCCACGTGAGACTCCGGAATCCTATACCAGTTCATGTTCTGACAGCTGCACTTCCAATCCAGCTCTCTGCTAGCAACCTGGGAAAAGCAGCAGAAGATGGCCCAAGTACTTGGGCCTCTGCCACTCACGTGGGAGACCCAGCTGAAGCTCCTGACTCCTAGCTTCAGCCTGGCCCAGCCATGGCCACTGCAGACATCTGGGGAGTGAACCAGCAGATGGATGATCTCTCTCCCTTTCTCTCTGTAACTCTTTCAAATAAATAAATAAATCTTTAAAAATAAAATAAAATGTGGGACCAGTGCCATGGTGCCATAGGTTAATCCTCCGCCTGTGGCACCAGCATCTCATATGAGCACCAGTTTTAGTCTCGGCTGCTCCTCTTCCCATCCAGCTCTCTACTATGGCCTGGGAAAGCAGTAGAAGATGGTCCAAGTCCTTGGGCCCCTGCACTCGCATGGGAGACCAGGAAGAAGCACTCGGCTCCTGGCTTTGGATCGGTGCAGCTCCAGCCACTGCGGCCAGTCGGCAAGTGAACCAATGGACAGAAGAGCTTTCTCTCCGTCTCTCCCTCTCACTGTCTGTAACTCTACCTCTCAAATAAATGAATTAAATCTTAATAAAAATATATAAAATGTTTAGGTAAAGAATCTATAGGTACCGTCTCTCTGGAATCACATTTTTTGGGTTAAAAAGTGAGAAAGGTGGCCAGCGCCGTGGTTCAATAGGCTAATCCTCCGCCTTGCGGCGCTGGCACACCAGGTTCTAGTCCCAGTCGGGGCACTGGATTCTGTCCCGGTTGCCCCTCTTCCAGGCCAGCTTTCTGCTATGACCCGGGAGTGCAGTGGAGGATGGCCCAAGTGCTTGGGCCCTGCACCCGCATGGGAGACCAGGAGAAACACCTGGCTCCTGCCTTTGGATCAGCGCGGTGCTCTGGCTGCAGTGCGCCAGCCGCGACGGCCATTGGAGGGTGAACCAATGGCAAAAGGAAGACCTTTCTCTCCATCTCTCTCTCACTGTCCACTCTGTCGATAAAAAATAAACACGATAACAAACAGTGAGAAGGTAAAGTGCATACCTCACAGGATGACTTTTAGTAATACTTATAGAAGCCTCTGGGATTAATTGTTTCCATTTATAGCTTGAAAATTCAATGGATTTCAATACAGAGATGCCCTCCTCTAGAGAAGACTTCATCCAACAAGCTCTTTCATATCGCTGTTGGGACACACAGCCAGCTTCCTCATACCCTAGGACAGAGAGAGAGGATAAAATGAGAAGTTTCTTTTTTTTTTTTCTTTTAAAGAAATTTATGGGGTTGGGGCTGATGTTGTGGCACAGTGGGTTAGGCTGCTGCTTGCAATGCAGGCATCCCATATGTGCACTGGTTCAAGTACTGGCTGCTCTGCTTCTGATCCAGCTCCCTACTAAGGCACCCATGAAAGCAGAAGGTGGTGCTTGGGCCCATGTACCCATATGGGAGATCCTGATGAAGCTCCTGGCTCCGGGCTTTGTTCCGGTTCAGCCCCAGCCATTGTGGGCATTTGGGGAGTGAACCAGCAAATGGAAGAGCTCTTTCTCTCTTTGTCTCTGCCCGTCTCTCTTAACTCTACCTTTCAAGTAAATAAACAATAAATCTTAAAAAAAAAAATCAAGAATTATTTACTTGAAAGGTGAAATGACAGAGAGAGAGGGAGAGACAGAGAACTCTTCCATTCACTGGTTCACTTCCCAAATGCCCACAACGGCTGGGGCTTGTGGGTATCCCAAGTTGCAGCTTAACCCACCACACCATAACATTCACCCTCAGAGAGGTTTCAAAGAGGAGTAAACTAGGTTTCAGGGCTCAATGAGTGTTACCTCGGAACGTGAGTCGGCTGTCGGCATTATCAGGGCGCAATGACAGACGGAACTCCACTCTGCTGGTAAACATGCGGTATGGTTCACTAGTGCCCAGCGTGGTGAGGTCATCAATCAAAACTCCAATGTAGCCTTCTGTTCGGCTGACGACAAAGGGAGGCTTGCGGCTGACTCGAAGACTGGCATTGATTCCGGCTATCACACCCTACAAGAGGACTGAAATGTTTAAAAGGCCATTACGAACTGAACAAAGAGCTATCCTATTCAGAACACTACCTGGGAAGAACAGCACAGGGCAAGAAGGAAACAGGCACTGCCCATGAGGAATATAACAGAGGTGGGAAATGTGACCTACAATTCAGAAACAGAATATGGGCCACATACATCAGCATGCTATGATTCACTGTTCCAGAAATACCTAGTATTCCAGATAAGCCTGGAGGCTTTTTTAAAAAATCCACATGTGAGACTTTTCTAGCTTTTTCATACCTATTAACATAAATTAAAATAAATTAACATAATTTCCCATTTATAAAAACAATATAATTCTTAATAAAATTATGTCAAAAGAACTTTTCTTTTTTAAATTTCAGAAGCAACATAATAAATATAATCAAAATACAATACTAGATCTATGATTTTGGGAGTAATAAAGTCACAGGTGTTTTTAAAATCCTATTATATACAATGGCCACCCCCACATGTCCTGAAACAGCAGTTTTCTATTAGAGTTACCAGTTGTACCTCAGATCTATGTTGTTTACATAACATATTAAAAGACAGAATACCAGCCAAGCAGACCCTTTCAGTTTACAGTAACATTGGAACAGCCCTTACCTGAGCTGCCGCTTCCTCGTAACCAGTGGTGCCATTTATCTGTCCCGCAAAGAAGAGCCGCTGAACCAGATGAGTCTCGAGGGAAGGACTGATCTGACGGGGATCTAAGTAATCATACTGAACACCGTAGCCTGACCAAAGAATAAAGAACATGAAATGAGTAAAACGGAGCTGGATTTGCCTCTAGGAAGAGATACAAAGATTACTATCAAATGCCCTTCAAGGCCGGCGCCACGGCTCACTAGGCTAATCCTTTGCCTACGGTGCCGGCACACCAGGTTCTAGTCCCGGTCAAAGCGTTGGATTCTATCCCGGTTGCTCCTCGTCCAGTCCAGATCTCTACTGTGGCCCGGGAGTACAGTGGAGGATGGTCCAAGTGCTTGGGCCCTGCACCCGCATGGGAGACCAGGAGAAGCACCTGGCTCCCTGGCTTTGGATCAGTGCAGTGCGCCGGCCGCAGCACGCCGGCCGCAGTGGCCATTGGAGGGTGAACCAACGGCAAGGGAAGACCTTTCTCCCTGTCTCTCTCTCACTGCTGTCCACTCTGCCTGTTAACAAAAAATGCCCTTCAAAAGCAAAAAAGATTTTAAATGTACTTATGTTGGGCTTCATCTTCTGCGACTCTAAGCAACCACACTAACTGTAGCCAAACCCTCCTCACTGACAGCTAAGGCCATGCTGAGCTTACACTGAAGGGCAGTTGTGACGCTCTTTACCTGGCTGAATCATTTTAGCTTTCTCCAAGCCTCTGATGCACGCAATCATTTTCTCTTGTAATTCAGCTGGTAGCGTCACAGATAAGCCTTGGGGGTAGATAAGATCAGAATCCAATCCTTCAGGTTCCAGCCAAACCTGATGCAGGCGATTGGGAAAACGCAAAACCTTTGATTCAATGGAGGGACAGTATCTGTAATAGGACATTAAAAATTTTTTTTATGACATTAAAATTTTAAAAACCGAAGTGAACAAAAGAGAGTTTGCATCATTCCTTAAAATAACTGAGCACTAATTAATAGCTTGTCCTTACCGAGGCCCTCTGGTAGTTTCTTTAACGTGACTATTAAGGTGAAGGTTCTCAAGGACAATTTCATCCACTTTAGGATTCGTGTGAGTCATGTAACATGGCAGCTGATCTTCTGGCTAAAGAAACAGTAACCAGATATAAGCTTGTTTTGCTTCCCTACTAATCTGCCACTTCCTCAAATAAATTCCACACAATATGTGCTAACTTTCTAGACAGTAAATCCACGCATAATGCCCAGTATAGCTTATAAGCCATTCTTGTCAAAAATCAACAACCCCAAAGATTTCCTAAATATAAGCAACCTCTAGGTCTAACTTACAGAGTACAGGAAACAGGTAGAGAAATACGGTACAACAGCAACACAGCCAGACAAAACTAGACTACAGATATTCTAGAGGCAAAGGCCTCAATTTTTTTTTTTTGACAGGCAGAGTGGACAGTGAGAGAGAGAGACAGAGAGAAAAGTCTTCCTTTGCCATTGGTTCACCATCCAATGGCCACCGCGGCCGGTGCGCTGCGGCCGGCGCACCGCGCTGATCCGAAGGCAGGAGCCAGGTGCTTTTCCTGGTCTCCCACGGGGTGCAGGGCCCAAGCACTTGGGCCATCCTCCACTGCACTCCTGGGCCACAGCTGAGAGCTGGCCTGGAAGAGGGGCAACTAGGACAAAATCCGGTGCCCCGACCAGGACTAGAACCCGGTGTGTTGGTGCTGCAAGGCGGAGGATTAGCCTACTGAGCCGCGGCGCCGGCCCCAACTTTTTCAATATATAAATATTAAAAAGAAAAAAATGGAAGGTTACTATTACAAAACATATTCTCCAATGCAATGTGTGGACTTTATTTGGTTCCTGGTTCAAATAAAACAACTTTAAAAAATGTTTTTCAGACAATTATGGGCAACTAAACACTAAATATAGATGCTAAGAAATTATGGGGGCTGGCGCTGTGAAGTAGTGGGTAATGCCACTGCCTGCAGTGCTGGCATCCCACATAGGCACCAATCTGAGTCCCCACTGCTTCACTTGTGATCCAGGCCTCTGCTATGGTCTGGAAAGGCAGTGGAAGATGGCCCAAGTCCTTGGGCCCCTGCACCCACATGGGAGACCCAGAAGAAGATCCTGGCTCCTGGCTTCGGATCAGCGTAGCTCAGACGTTGAGGCCAATTGGGGAGTGAACCAGCAGATGGAAGACCTCTCTCTTTCTCTCTGTCTCTGCCTCTCTCTAACTCTGCCTTTCAAATAAAATAAATAAATCTTAAAAAAATTGTATTTTATTAGGTGTGATAATGGCATTTTTTTCTTAAAGTTCATAGCTAATAAAGATAACCATCCAAGTATTAATAAGGGAAATATGTGATGTCTGGGGTTGTTCCTTTAAACTCAGCATAAAAAAGCATTCAGGAAAAAAGAGGAAATAAGGATGCCAAAATGCTACTTGATGAAACTGGGTGATGGACATATAGCTTAATTATATTATTCCCCTGCTTTGTGAAGACCTGGAAATTTACAATAAAAACTTAAAATTAAACAATAAAAAAGTATCATCATAATTTGCATTTTATCGAAGCAAAGAATAAAATAGAGCAGTTGGAGCCACTCATCAGGATAACACCAGAAACTAGAAAAAAAAATGTTATTAATCCTCTGTCCTAAACACACAATATACATTCTTTCTTTTCTTTTCTTTTTTTTTTTTTTTGACAGAAAGAGTTAGACAATGAGAGAGACAGAGAGAAAGGTCTTCCTTCCGTTGGTTCACCTCCCATATGGCTACTATGGCCGGCGTGCTGCGCCGATCCGAAGCCAGGAGCCAGCTGCTTCCTCCTGGTCTCCCATGCAGGTGCAGGGCCCAAGCACTTGGGCCATCCTTCACTGCCTTCCCCAGCCACAGCAGAGAGCTGGACTGGAAGAGGGGCAACCAGGACAGAATCGGCGCCCCGACCGGGACTAGAACCCAGAGTACCGGCGCTGCAGGAGGAGGATTAGCCTAGTGAGCGGCAGCGCCAGCCCCATTAATTCTTTAATTTAAAAAATATGTGATGGAAAGTCAAGATACTATAGCAAAAAATGTTCTACATGAAGGATCTCTGTGAGTGAGACCCCACAAAAAGAAGTGGCCATCAAAGAAGGAGGTACTTTGAAGGAAGGAGAGAACTTCCACTTTGTTTTTGGCCTTGTCTAAATACTAACGGAGTTTGTGGATTCAAAAGGATTCCATAGCCTAGGCAGCTCATGTCAAGAGCCTCGGGTGATCACTGACATCACGCATAAAGAGTGTTAATTGTTAAATTAACAAGAGTCACTGTGCACTAACTTCCCATGCAGAACCTCTGTTCTCAAAGATTTGTATTATAATTATGTCTAAGTGCTCACAAAAGATGTATCATTCTTGGGTGCTTCTTTAAAGTTAATTAACTTTCTAAAAAAAGAAAGGGAAATTAATTTCAAGATGCAATGACCTTGAACAGCCCTTGTCTTGACTGTTGAAGAACAGGTTTATTTTTTTTCAGTGCAAATTGTTGAACTCTTTACTTAGTATAGAGTTGGTTTTCTGTGTATAAAGTTAATTAAAAATTATCTTAGTGGAGAATCGGACTGGGAATGGGAGAGGGAAGAGGAGGTGTGGGTACAGTGGGAAGAATCACTGTACTTCCTAAAGTTGCACTTATGAAATGCATGAAGCTTGTATTCCTTAAATAAAAGGTTTCTTTGGGGAAAATAAAATAAAAATATGGTCTGAAATATTTAGAGGTAAAGGCTCATGATCTCTGCAAGTATCTGTATTTCCATCTGTAAATGATTACACAGAGAGAAATATAAAATATTAATTACAGGTGACTTCCAATTGTTTTTAGGAATTTGCTATAATACTTTCACAACTTTTCTGTAAAATTGTTTTTTAAAAGTTTAATTTACAAAATAAGTAAAATTATTTGTGGGGTAATAATCAATTAGCCAAGTTAGCTAATCCTTTTAAACATCATTTCTTTGTACTCTAAACTATAGTAAAGTGAGTTATTGCCACAAAAGGAAAGAAAAAGAAATGACTAGGCTACCTCCTGCTGTGAAGAGCCAATAGTTATTCTAGGTGTTCATAAACTACCTTACCTTAATCCACACCGTCTCATTGATAAAGCTGAACGGTTTGGGCGGATCATCTGGTGTCTGCTTGTTTAGAATGCTGAAATTAATGGACTCTTTGGCAATTCGGGGTGGAGTCCCAGTCTTCAACCTTCCCACTGCAAACCCCAACTTCTCCAGAGTCTGAGCCAACCCTATGGAAGGCTGATCTCCTAAACGTCCTGCTGGATGCATCTCCAATCCAATCACAACTGTGCCTCTTAGAAATGTCCCAGTAGTCAGAATCACACTGTCCGCATATACTGTGCTTCCATCCACTAAATAAAAAAGCAAAATCATTTTCTGTTACCACAGGTCAAAGTGGAATGTGACTAGTTTTCATTAAAGCCACAAAAAAACTGTCAGTCCTTTTTTTTTTTTTTTAGAAGCAGAAAGACAACTCAAATCCACTAGCTCATTCTCCAAATGCCTGTAATGACTGGGGCTAGACCAGGCTGAGGCTGGAGCCAGGAACACATTCTAGTCTCCGAAACGAGTGGCAGGAAGCCAATTAGCAGAGCCATCACTACGGCCTCCCAGGCTCTGGACTGGCAGGAAGCTGGGGTCAGGAGCCAGAATTGAGAATCGAGCCCAGGCACCCTGAAGTGAAACACAGGAATCTTAACTGCTGGGCTAAATTGTGGGGAGCAACTGGGAGCAACTCGGACTAGACTAAGTTACTGGAATTAAGACTTATTCTATGCATCTGCTCTCCCACAATATGGCGCTGGGAGAGGAGGAAACAGCTTCTACACAGCTGCCTCCAGTTCAACCAATAAGCTGTAGGACCTGCTCCTGATTGGAGGAGAGCAGCGTACTCGGCATGTGGGTAGCAGAGTTGGGATTGGTGGAAGAGGACTATAAAGGAGGAGAGAGACAACATGCACCAGAAACACCTGAGGAACATCTGAGCAGCCCCCGAGAGAACCAGCCGGCAGTGTGCCGCTCCCCCGCGGAAGTGGGGAAAGTGGCAGGGGGAACCGCCCTTCCACGGAGGTGGAAGGGACGGTAGCCAACCAGGGAAGAACCAGCAGCAAACCCGGGGAAGGCCGAGCAGACAAAAGAACAGCGCAGGATTCAGTGTCGTTCCTCTGCGAAGAGGGGGAGCGACATAATGGTGCCGTGACTCGGATATGAAGCCTAGGCAGGGTCTTGTGTCGTTCCTCCATGAAGAGGGGGAGCGACACTAAATGTCTGTTCCCAAGTCTCTAGAAACTTTGGAAAGAATTAAAAAAAAAAAATTGTTCTTCTTTTCAAGCTTACTGACAAACAGATATGTGTGTATATATGTGTGTGTGTGTATATATATATAATATATATTGGGCTGGCGCCACGGCTCACTAGGCTAATCCTCCACCTTGCGGTGCCGGCACACCGGGTTCTAGTCCTGGTCGGGGCGCCGGATTCTGTCCCGGTTGCCCTTCTTCCAGGCCAGCTCTCTGCTGTGGCACAGGCAGTGCAGTGGAGGATGGCCCAAGTGCTTGGGCCCTGCACCCCATGGGAGACCAGGATGAGTACCTGGCTCCTGCCTTCGGATCAGCGCGGTGCGCCGGCCGCAGCGCACCGGCCGTGGCGGCCATTGGAGGTTGAACTAACGATATCTCCCTTCAGACACGGAGTTTTAGCTATCTCCCCTTTACCGAGTCAGTTAATGTTCTTCCAACAACTTTGTATCTCCCAAAAATATACTAGAGTACTTCAAAAAGTTCATGTGACACTGGCATCCCATGTTGGAGCACCGTTCTAGCTGCTCTGCTTTCTGTCTCACTTCCTGCTAATGTGCCTAGGAAGGCTGAGGAAGATGGCCCAAGTTGTCACCTAAATTGCCACCTACATGGGAAACCCAGATGGAATTCCAGGCTTCTGGCTTTGACAGGCCAAAGCAGTTGCAACCATTTGGGGAGTATACCAATGGATGGAAGATCTCTGTCTCTCTCTGTTGCTCTACCTTTCAAATAAATAAATCTTTTAACAAGGGTGGAGGGGGGGAGTCTTCAAAAAGTTCATGAAAGATGCACATTAAGAAAAAACTGCTGGCCGGCGCCGCAGCTCACTAGGCTAATCCTCCACCTTGCGGCCAGCTTCACTGACGGCATGGTCAGGACGTGGGACCTGCGCAGTTGGAGCATGGTCAGGGACCTCCCCGGCCCCCCAAACTGCACCAACAGCATCGCGGTCAGAGACCAGCAGGTGTGGGCGGGCGGCCTGGACGCGTGCCTGCGCTGCTGGGACCTGCGTGCCGCGGGGCCACCCCTGCAGTACCTGCTGGAGTCCCAGATCATGAGCCTGGCCCACTGCCCCCAGGAAGACTGGCTGCTGCTGGACCTGGCGAACGGGCAGCAGTGGCTGCGGCGGCCCGACGGCAGCCAGGCACGCATGGCTGGGCACAAGGACAGCGCCATCCTAGCGCTCAGGTTCTCAGCCTTTGGCCACTGGTGGGTGAGCGTGGGCACGGACGACCTGGTCAGCATCTACGCGATGCCCCTGGGCGCCAAGGTGTTCCAGGTGCCCGAGGCCACCGCCATCTTGTGCTGCGACGTGTCCAGCGACAGCCGCCTGGTCGTTACGGGCGCCGGGGACTGTGCCTCCGTGTACCGGGTCACCTACTGAGGCCCCGCGTCCGTCCATCGTCTCCTGAGACGGGCCGGGGGTGGGGGGAGGTAGTGGGAGGGGTCTCGTCGGCACCGCGTGGGGTTCACAGCCTCTGGGCTCTGTCCGTGGAATAAAGCACTCGGCAAAGCAATATAGTTCAAAAGACAGAGAGATGAACTAATTTGCCCTATTTGCCCTACAAAGCAACATTAAATGGAGAATTGAGAAAGAGAACTGAGAAATGCAGGAATGAATATTGGGGCTAAAATAAAATAAACAGGTGAAGCTAATATATTAAGGTTTTATCCCTAGAAAGTTTTATCGTACAGAATAATGGAGGTTTATTCTTCAGATAATAGGGTATTACCATTTAATGGATAGGGAATTTCAACTTGAGATGATGAAAAAGATGGATAGTAGTGCTGGTTGTATGGCATTGTGAACAGACTAAACAAACAACATTGATTTGTACACTTTTAAATGATCAAAATGGTAAGCTTTTTAATAATGTATGCATATTTTTTAATATATACTTTACCACATTAAAAAAAATTAGAAGGATAGTGCTGTGGCACAGCAAGAAAAGCTGCTTCCTACAATGCTAGCATCCAAAATGGGCCCTTGTTAAAGTTCCGGCTGCTCTAGTTCTGATCCAGCTCCCTGCTACATGCCTGAGAAAGCAGTGGAAGATGGTCCAAGTACATGGGCCCCTGCCACCCATGAGGGAGATCCAAATGAAGCTCCTAGTTCCTGGTTTCAGCTCAGCCCAGTCCCAGCTGTTGTAGCCACTTGGGTAGTGAACTAGCAGATGGAAGATCTCTCTCTCTGTCATTCCCTCACTCTGTAACTCTGCTTTTCAAATAAATAAATCAATCTTTAAAAAAAATTATAGTTATATCTATAACAACAGGGCAAAAAATAGCAAAAAATTAGCACTGGGGCCAGTGCTGTGGCATAGGTTACGCCTCCGCCTATGGCACCAGCATCCCATATGGGTGCTGGTTCAAGTCCCGGCTGTTTTACTTCCAATCCGGCTCCCTGCTGGTGGCCTGCAAAAGTAATGGAAGATGGTTTAAGTGCTTGGGGCCCTGCACCCTTGTGGGAGGCCCAGAAGAAGTTCCTGGCTCCTGGCTTCAGATTGGCCCAGCTCCAGTCATTGCAGCCATTTGGGGAGCGAACTAGTGGATGGAAGACCTCTCTCTGTCTCTGTCTCTCTCTCTAACACTGCCTCTCAAATAAATAAATAAATAAATAAAAGCATTTAGGAATTCCTCAAAAAAGGCCAGTTCAATTATTGATCACCACTCTAGTCAGGCTAGCAATAAAATTAACTATGTACATAAAAATCTTCCACTTAGTGCCTCAGTGTCTCATTTAAAACCTTGAACAAACAACCAATGTTCCCCAGGCATTTGAAGAAAGCTATGTACATGAAAGAGAGCATCCGGGAAGGGAGAAAAGTTGCAGAAATAGAGCACGGAAAAACAACAGAAGGTGAGGCTGGCGCTGTGGCACAGTGGGTTAACACCCTTGCCTGAAGAGCTGACATCCTATATGGGTGCCGGTTCGAGACCCGGCTGCTCTACTTCCAATCCAGCTCTCTGCTTTGGCCTGGGAAAGCAGTGGAAGATGGCCCAAGTCCTTGGGACCCTGCAACCACGTGGGAGACCTGGAGGAAGCTCTTGGCTCCTGGCTTTGGATCGGTGCCAATTGGGGAATGAACCATCGTATGGAAGACCTCTCTCTCTCTCACTCTCTATCTGCCTCTCCTCTCTCTGTGTAACTCTTTCAAATAAATAAATCTCAAAAAAACAAACAAACAAACAAACAAAAAAAAAAAACAACCAATAGAAGGAAATACCCTGGGGCTGGCGCTGTGGCTCACTTGGCTAATCCTCCGCCTGCGGCGCCGGTATCCCATATGGGCACCGGGTTCTAGTCCCAGTTGCTCCTCTTCCAGTGCAGCTCTCTGCTGTGGCCCAGGAGGGCAGTGGAGAATGGCCCAAGTGCTTGGGCGCCTGCACCCGCATGGGAGACCAGGAGGATTGGCACAGTGCCGGCCATGGTGGCCATTTGGGGAGTGAACCAGTGGAAGGAAGACCTTTCTCTCTCTCTCACTGTCTATAACTCTACCTGTCAAATAAATAAATAAAAAAGAAAGAAAGAAAGAAAGAAAGACCCCACAAGAGGAGGACATGGCTTTCTAGATCTAAAAGGAACATCTAGTACTCCACCACAATGAAAATGAACAAAGAGTACTCCGAAGAACACCATTCTATCTTTTACAACACCAGAGGCAAATACAAGATTCTAAAGCTTTCAAAGAAAAGAGACATACAAAAAATAATTACAGCATTGAGCTAACCAAAAGCAACACAGCTAGAAGACAGTGAAGCAGGACTATCAAGATTCTAAGGGAGAAAAAAAAAAAAAAAGAAAGATAACAAACAAAAAAAAACATAAAAAAAAGAAAAAAGAAAAAAATAAGAAAACAACAACAACAAAAAAGGCAAAAAAAAGAGAAAAACAAACAAAATATTCTAAGGGAAACAGATTTAACCCAGAATTCTATATTCAGCCCCAAATTAAGAGCCAAGTCTGGAGCCGGCGCCGCGGCTCACTAGGCTAATCCTCCGCCTAGCGGCGCCGGCACACCGGGTTCTAGTCCCGGTTGGGGCGCCGGATTCTGTCCCGGTTGCCCCTCTTCCAGGCCAGCTCTCTGCTGTGGCACAGGGAGTGCAGTGGAGGATGGCCCAGGTGCTTGGGCCCTGCACCCCATGGGAGACCAGGAAAAGCACCTGGCTCCTGGCTCCTGCCATTGGATCAGCGCGGTGCGCCGGCCGCAGCGCGCCAGCCGCGGCGGCCATTGGAGGGTGAACCAAAGGCAAAAGGAAGACCTTTCTCTCTGTCTCTCTCTCTCACTGTCCACTCTGCCTGTCAAAAAAAAAAAAAGAGCCAAGTCTGGGGCTGGCATTGTGGTACAATGTGTTAAGCTGCTGCCTGTGATGCCGGCATCCCATATGAACACCAGTTTGAATCCCAGCTGTTCCACTTCTATTCCAGGTCCCTTCTCATGGCTTGTGAAAAGCAGTGGAAGATGGTCCAAGTATTTGGGCCCTTGCCACCCATGTGGGAGATCCAGATGAAGCTCCTGGCTCCTGGCTTTGGCCTGGCCTGGCCCTGGCTGTTGCGGCCATCTGCGGAGTGAACAAACAAATAGAAGACCTCTCTCTTTCTGTCTTCCTCCTCTGACTGTAACTCTTTCAAATAATCTTTTTTTTTTTAAAGATTTATTTATTTGAAAGACAGAGTTAGAGAGAGAGAGAGAGATAGAAAGAGCGATCTTCCACCTACTGGCTTACTCCACAAATGGCTGCAATGCCCAGAGATGGGCCAATCTGAAGTCAGGAGCCAGGAACTTCATCCAAGTCTCCCACATGGGTGCAGGAGCCCAGGTACTTGGGCCATCCTTTGCTACTTTCCCAGGCACATCACAAGGGAGCTGGATCAGGAGTGGAGCAGATGGGACTTGAACCAGCATTAATGGGATCCCAGTGCTGTAGGCGGAAGCTTTATCCACTACACCACAGTGCTGACCCCTCAAATAAATAGATCAAATAAACAGATCTTAAAAAAAAAGAAAAAGATAGAATTGAGAGATTATTTGATATCTATTAAGAAAATGATATTGGCAGATATTTCTGATTAAAAAGAAAGGTGGGCAGGTACACAGAAACTAAGCAAATAAAAAATAAATCAGCCCAAAACAAAAACATATATGAAAGAAACATAATAATGTAAATACATTTTTTTAAAGATTTATTTTACTTATTTGAAAGAGTTATATAGAGAGAAAAGAGACAAAGAGAGATCTTCCATCCATCGGTTCACTCCCTAGACGGTTACAACGGCCGGGGTTGCACCAGGCTAAAGCCAAGTTAGGAGCCAGGAGCTTCATCCAGGTCTCCCACATGGGTGCAGGGGCCCAAGGACTTGGGCCACCTTCTGCTGTTTTCCCAGACACATTAGCAGGGAGCTGGATTGGAAGCAGAGCAGCTGGGACTTGAACTGGTACATATATGGGATGCTGCATCACAGTACTGGCCCCTAGAATGTACATGCTATTAATCAAAAATTGTGCCAGCGCCACGGCTCAATAGGCTAATCCTCCACCTAGCGGTGCCGGCACACCGGGTTCTAGTCCCGGTCAGGGCGCCGGATTCTGTCCCAGTTGCCCCCCTTCCAGGCCAGCTCTCTGCTATGGCCAGGGAGTGCAATGGAGGATGGCCCAAGTGCTTGGGCCCTGCACCCCATGAAAGACCAGGAGAAGCACCTGGCTCCTGCCTTCGGATCAGCACGGTGTGCCGTCCGCAGCGGCCGTTGGAGGGTGAACCAACGGAAAAGGAATACCTTTCTCTCTGTTTCTCTTTCTCACTGTCCACTCTTTCTGTATTAAAAAAAAAAAAAAAAGAGGTAATATCTAAGACTGATAATTCGATAATTCTTAAAAAGATTTATTATTGATATATTTATTTCAGATCTAGTTTCCTGCTAATATATCCTGGGAGGAAGTGGATTATGGATATAGTACTTGGGTCCTGCCACCCGCATTGAGTTCCTGGCTCCTAACTTCAGCAGGGCATCTGAGAATGAACCAGCAAGATGGGAGTTATCTCATCATTCTCTCTCTTGCTCTGCTTTTAAAGTAAATAAAAATAAATAAACTTTTTTTTAAAGTCCTACACTAAGATTAGATAATTGATGAGCCCAGAATTTGTCTGTGCTTTATGATGGTCAGAATGAAAAGAAAAGCATGATTACTTATATAGATTTCCTAACTCAGACAAAGAAAACACAGTAATTTTCTGGAACAAGAAAAAACATATCCACACTTTGCTCTAACATCACACGAAGTTTGATAATTACCACCAGTACATACCCAAAACAACACCGCTGACACGGCACTTCCCAGGGTGCTCAGGCTCTGGTTCCGACAGAATAAGGTCTTCTACTGCTCCCTCCTGAACTGTGAGCAGTGGCGTGTTCAGGATTTCTTTCTGTCAAAAGAGGATGCCAATTGAAGCACAGCAGTTAAACAACTCCACCAATCTCTCCGGTTCTCATGCCCTATTCTTACCTGCATGTTCTGTTTATACAGTTTCCTATCGATTTGAGCTCTCAGACCCCACACAGCTGGCCCCTTTCGCCGGTTTAATACTTTGTAATGTACACCAGACTGGTCACAGATGCGAGAACACAGACCATCCAAGGCATCAACTTCTCTCATTAAATGCCCCTTTCCAATGCCACCAAAGGAGGGATTACAGGACATCTGACCTAAACAGAACAGACATAAACAAAATGAATATATGAGCACCTTGCAAATAGTGGGTGTTTAATATGAAAATATTTAACTAGAATCATCTCATATTACAAAATGACAGGAAACTTGAAACATATACTACAAAGAAAATTCCAAAGTATCAATGGGATACAGGAGTTGTCCAGGGCATCCTGAAGACAAATCACCACCTGAATTCCTGTCTATGGCATTGCCACCTTGAACGCGCCAGTTCTTGTCTGAATTTCCTTTTGAATATTTTCCTTGATGTGTATTTTTTACTGTTTCGTTTGGCTTTTACTTTAAAATGTAGAATTCCTGAGCTGGCGCCGCAGCTCACTAGGCTAATCCTCCACCTTGCGGCGCCGGCACCCCGGGTTCTAGTCCCGGTTGCCCCTCTTCCAGGCCAGCTCTCTGCTGTGGCCAGGGAGTGCAGTGGAGGATGGCCCAGGTGCTTGGGCCCTGCACCCCATGGGAGACCAGGAAAAGCACCTGGCTCCTGGCTCCTGCCATCGGATCAGTGCGGTGCGCCGGCCGCGGCGGCCATTGGAGGGTGAACCAACGGCAAAGGAAGACCTTTCTCTCTGTCTCTCTCTCTCACTGTCCACTCTGCCTGTCAAAAAAAAAAAAAAAAAGAATGCTTTTAAAAAGTCCCTGGAGCTGGTGCTGCAGCCGTTGCAGCCATTTGGGGAGTGAGTCAGCAGATGGAAGGCCTCTCTCTCTCTGCCTCTCTGTAATTCTACCTTTTTTTTTTTTTTTTTTTTAAGATTTATTTTTTTATTTATTTGAAAGAGTTATAGAGAGAGGTAAAGACAGAGAGAGGTCTTCCATCAGCTCGTTCACTCCCCAGATGGCCGCAACAGCCAGAGCTGCACTGATCTGGAACCAGGAGGCAGGAGCTTCTTCTGGGTCTCCCATGTGGGTGCAGGGACCCAAGGACTTGGACCATCTTCTACTGCTTTCCCAGGCCATAGCAGAGGGCTAGATCGGAAGAAGAGCGGCTGGGGCTAGAACCGGCACCCATATGGGATGTTGCACTTCAGGTCAGGGCTTTAACCTGCTGTACCACAGCGCCGGCTCCCCACCTTTCAAATGAATAAATAAATCTGAACAACAACAAAAATAGGGGCCGTTGCCGTGGCTCACTTGGTTAATCCTCCACCTGTGGTGCCGGCATCCCATGTGGGCACCAGGTTCTAGTCCCAGCTGCTCCTCTTCCAGTCCAGCTCTCTGCTGTGGCCCCTGAAGGCAGTGGAGGATGGCCCAAGGGATTGGGTGCCTGCACCCACGTGGAAGACCAGGAAGAAGCACCTGGCTCTTAGCTTCAGATTGGTGCAGCTCTGTCCATTGCAGTCATTTGGAGAGTGAACCAATGGAAGGAAGACCTTTCTCTCTGTTTCTCTCTCACTGTCTGTAACTCTACCTGTCAAATAAATTTAAAAAGAAAAGTACTAAATGAAATTTAAAAACAACAACAACATAAGGTCCTTTGGCACTCATTCTTTGCTACAATCATGTCTTTCACAAGTGCCATTTGCTATTTTCCTTTCACTCTTATTTTATACAAATAAATTATAAATTTCTTGAAAGTCAAAGCTGTTTTATACCTTGCTTTTAATTTTACCCAGTCTTATTTGGAGACTAAACTCATATGTTACCGCAAATATTTTTAAAATTTATTTGAAAGACAGAGAGGCAAAGAGACAGGCAGTGGAGATCTACTGTCTGTTGATTCACTCTGCGAAGGCCTTCAACAGCTAGGGCTGGCTGGACTAGGTCTACCCAGGTCTCCCATGTGATTGGCAGGGACCTAATCCCTGAGCAATCCATCACCTGCTGCCTCCCAGGATGCACATTAGAAGGAAGCTGGAATCAGAGGCAGAGCCAGGACTTGAACCTAGACACTCTGGTGTGAGATGAAGCTGTCTCAAGAGGCATCTTAACTGCTGTGCCAAGGACCCAGCACTACCTCAAGGTTTTTATGGCGAAGTGGGAAGTTGTGCCAACATCGGCACATCTACCTCAGCCACTATTAAGCCCTCCAAAAGTCATTATGGTCTCCACAGGGAAGCTGAATAGTGCTGTAACCATGAGTATGGAGTGTGTGATTATGAGGAGTGAATGAAAGAGATTTGGCTCAATTTCTAAATCTACTACTTACTAACACTGTGGTTTTAGCAAGTTACCTTTCTTTCAGTTTTCCTACTATAAAAACAGAGTTAACAGCTGTAGATTTTCCCCTTCCTTTTGAAATGGAATAATAATTTTATTTAAGTAAACACTCCCATAACTCAGTTTTGGGATACGCCTTTCATTGGTATAAAGTAATCCCTGTAATCCTGTGCCTACTTGCCAGTGTCTGGTTTAATGGCAGTAAGTCAAGAGGGGAGAGCTGTGAAGGGTCTCAAGGAGAGGGTGGCTTGTTTGTTTTAGAGAGATTCAAGGTGGGGTGGAAAACACTCTTGGTTAAAAGCTGAAATCTCTGGATGTGACAACCGGAACTAAAGTAGACATCTTGCAACCATAAGCACAGCTAGCCTGAAGACAAGCTAAGAGTGGCATAATAAAGAGAGTGCAGGAATTCGAATCCTTGGGCATTGTGAGGCTGCTGAATCAGCTACCCTTACTGCTGATCTACCTGCAAATTTGTTTTTAGATAACAGGTATTATCTCACTTTTTATTAAATCAGTAGAATAAGAATTTTCTGTTACTGCAAAGTGAGATGATATGCATACAGCACTTAATACAGTGTCCGTTGCAGAGTACACAATAATTAATATTTACTAGCAATTATCTTAATGTATTTCTCAGGTCATTGTAAAATATTCTCTGCCTAAGATCCTTCATTTTTTTTAAAAAAATCACATAATTTCAAAAATTTTTTTTAATCCTCCAGAAGGTGATCGCTGTGATCATACTGCATTTCTACTTAAAATCCTTTTTTCTTTAAATTTGAAAGTCATCTTTCTTCAGAAAGGCTTCACAAAATCCCGATAAAAACAACGGTCGTTTTAATAAACGATGATTGATAATGCCAATTCACTCTTCATCTGACAAGATAGTAGGAGACAGATGCTACAAAGAACTAGGTAGCTACGATCGAATACTCTTGATGTTTCTCCCTTTCTAGGTGCCACCACCAACTCCCTACAACTAACTGCTGCCAACAGCCACAAAATCTTGGGTCCACGGAATAGACTGATCCAGAACTAACAGCTCATGCCCGCCTGATCCCTACGAGACACAGATCTGAGCTAAAAACACCACAGGGGCTGGACTCTCACCAGTCCTCAGGGAGGGAAGAAGTCGCCCACATCAGGCACCGGACAAGGGAAAGCGGGCATCTTGGCAGCCCGCGTCTTAGGCCAACCTCCACACCACCCGCTCTCCTCACCGATCGTATCCACGCGGTGCGTGAGGAGCAGAGTGCGGGAGCCGCACCGAGCGGCGGCGGCGGCTGCCTCGGTCCCAGCATGTCCTCCGCCGATGACTACCACGTCGAAGTGCGGAGTCCGGGGCGCCGCACTGTCGGCGCTAAACTGAGCCCACGGAAGGTGTTGTTTGGCGAGGGAAGCCGCTACCCAGCGGCCACAGCCACGGAGGGAGAGCATTCTGGAAGCAAGCTAGAGACTAACTTAGAGCCTGACATGAGCGAGTGGCCGAGCGTCTACACGAGAGAGAAGCCGCAGGGCGCAGCCATCTTGTCTGATGTCACGGCGTAGCGCGTCTACGTCCAGCGTCCCCGCTGATTGGCTGTGCAGTGCGACTTTGCAGGCAAAAGGAGGCTGAGAATGGGGCAGGCAGCCCGGGCTGCGTGTATTCTCGGGTTTGACGCAGCCTGTATTGGTTACCTTATAGCCGTGAACTGTGGGCAACTGCTAAAGGGCATCCTTTGTCCTTCCCCCGGCGTCCCGACCTTAATTGTCCGTTGGCTACCCACGAACAAAGAATTGGATGACTGCCTCATTAGTGCACAATTACGTGGACTTGTGTCTGTAAAAACTAGAGTCTGAAAATAGGAATGGATTCCAAAGGAATTCAGATTTATTTGTGAAAGAAAGTTTCAGGGCCGGCGCTGTGGTGCAGCGGGTTAATGCCCTGGCCTGAAGCGCCGGCATCCCAGATGGGCGCCAGTTCTAGTGCCGGCTGCTCCACTTCCAATCCAGCTCTCTGCTATGGCCTGGGAAAGCAGTAGAAGATGGCCCAAGTCTTAGGACCCTGCACCCTCTTGGGAGATCTGGAAGAAGCTCTTGGCTCCTGGCTCCAGATCGGCGCAGCTCCGGCCGTTGCGGCCAATTGGGTAGTGAACCACTGGATGGAAGACCTCTCTCTCTCTCTCTCTGCCTCTCCTTCTCTCTGTGTAACTCTGGCTTTCAAATATATAAATAAATCTTAAAAAAAAAAAAAAAGGAAGAAAGTTTAATGATGGTTAATTAGGGGAAGTGGATGATTCAAGGTTAAGTATCCAGCTTTTTGGAATTGATATCTTGTGGATCATTTTCATTGCTATGATTATTAAAATTACAAAATACATAATCTTATTTTAGTACCCTAGTACCAGTGCCGTGGCTCACTTGGTTAATCCTCCGCCTGCAGTGCCAGCATCCCATATGGGTGGGTGCCCGGTTCTAGTCCCGGTTGCTCCTCTTCCAGTCCAGCTCTCTGCTGTGGCCCAGAAGGGCAGTGCAGGATGACCCGGATGCTTGGGACCCGCATGGGAGACCCGGTGAAGGCACCTGGCTTCTGGCTTTGGATTGGTGCAGCCCTGGCCGTGGTGGCCATTTGGGGAGTAAACCAATGGAAGGAAGACCTTTCTCTCTCTGTCCCTCTCTCTCACTGTCTATAACTCTACCTGTCAAAACAAAACAAAACAAAAAAAAACCTGCTAGGTCAAACACCCTCTCCTGTGATATCCTTTCTATAAATATAAATACTACGGTTAAGGGTGTCTCAAATGTTTAAATTTTAATAGATTGATAAATTTTTTTCCAAAACCTGTCAGGTTGCACTAACAGTCTATAAAATTATTTCCCCATAGTAGCCAGCATTAATTTTAACTAAGCTTTAAATATGAACATATTGTCCATATTTTAATTAAAATACCATAATACAAATGTTGTTGTATAATCTACTTTTTTTTAAAAAAAGATTTATTTATTTATTTATTTGAAAGGTGGAGTTAAGAGAGGTAGAGGCAGAGAGAGGTCTTCCATCTGCTGGTTTACTTCCCAGATGGCCATAAAAGCAAAAGCTGCACCGATCTGAAGCCAGGAGCCAGGAGCTTCTTTGGGGTCTCCCACCTGGGTGCAAGGGCACAAAATCTTGGGCCATCTTCCACTGCTTTCCCAGGCCATAGGAGAGAGCTGGAAGTGGAGCATCCAGGACTTGAACTAGCGCCCATATGGAATGCCGGCACTGCAGGCGATGGTTTTACCCACTAAGCCACAGCACTGGCCTCCAATCTACTCTTTCATATAACACTTTAGCACGGATATTTTTCTATGCCAATATATACAAACTTAGATCATTTCCAAGACCACAAAATATACTATTTATCCATTTTTAAGCTTATAACTTGAGCCTTTAATTAGAAATCATATATTTTACATTTGAAAGCTATTCATCAATCCCTTTACCTGATGTGTTTTCAGCTGAGACCCTGCTCTTTGTAATAGAGACCTTAATCCAAAGAAGGGGTATTTAGGCATAGTTTAGGTAAATGACTAAGTGAATTTCTACTGTAAAAGGAGACAGCACTTCTTTCTGTTGAAGTTAGCATTTTACCTTTTGTGTTGGGGTTCCTAAGATGGTCCTCAGATTTGATGATTATCTGGAAAAACACACTCCAGAAAAGCAATTACATTTGTGTTGATGGTTTGTTAGAGTGAAAGGACACAGATTAAAATCAGGAAAGGCAAAAAGTGTGTTGGGTAGAGTCCAGGAGAGACCAGACATGAAATTCTAGTTGTCTCTGCCCGTGTTGGACTACAGGCAGAACTTAGTTTTCCTATGAATGATATATGGTAATATGAACAAACTGTGAACAGGTAGGGGAGCTTACCTAAGCCTTGGTATCCAGGGCTTCAGCCCCCTCAAAGGGCAAACTGAAAAACTCACCAAATATTACGTTGTGAGAATAAACTATCATGCATGGTGTAGTTATATATAGAATATATATGTGCAGTTTAGGCAGAATATTTCAAGTACTTTGAGGTTTTTCTCCCAGGAGCCAGGCAAGGCCCAGGCCTTTCTTTGAAATGTGCAGCATATGAACACCCTAAGCCTGCTGAGTTAGACCTTTACTCTTTTTATGAGTTAAGGAAATCATCACTGGTCATATGTTAGACTGCTTTATATTGTAAATCTTTTTTTTTTTTTTTGACAGGCAGAGTGGACAGTGAGAGAGAGAGATAGAGAGAAAGGTCTTCCTTTTGCCGTTGGTTCACCCTCCAATGGCCGCCACGGCTGGTGCGCTGCGGCCGGCGCACCGCGCTGATCCAAAGGCAGAAGCCAGGTGCTTCTCCTGGTCTCCCATGGGGTGCAGGGCCCAAGCACTTGGGCCATCCTCCACTGCCTTCCCTGGCACAGCAGAGAGCTGGCCTGGAAGAGGGGCAACCAGGACAGAATCCGGCGCCCCAACCGGGACTAGAACCTGGTGTGCCAGTGCCGCTAGGTGGAGGATTAGCCTATTGCGCCGTGGCGCCGGCCATATTGTAAATCTTTACCTCAGTCTTTATGTTAAGAGACAATCTATCAAAATTGCAGAACAGCTGGCAATAAAGTCTCAAGGTCCCTGAGTTGTAAGGTCCCTTGTAATTATAAACTATAGAAAAGAGAAATAAGATAAAAAAGAATGAAGTATATGTTACCAATAAATATGTGGGCCTTACAAATAATAGCTTTAGAAAATAACTCTAAGTGTCAATGATTTTCTTTTCCTTTTATTCTCCACTTAATTTGAAGTCTACTCATTTTGAGCAATAAGAGAAGTAGAAAAACAATTTCTGCCGTAGTGATGTGTATGGTTGCATGGGTAATTCAGCCAGGGTAAAAGCAACACAAGGGAAGGAGTCAATTTTACCACCATTTGGAGAAAGGTTGGCTTTACAATTGAACGATCAAAGAATTTGCAGACTGCTGGATGACATGCACACAGCAGTTATAAGGCAGTACAATAGTGAGCTGTGAGTACAGGGAGCATCTAGCCATGGCAGATGACAGGGAATGCTCGCTTCTTCACAGAGTTGACCCATGAAGAAGTACTCAAAACAATTCATCATGAAAGGAAAGGTGTCTTTGAGGAGTGCTTTATTATTATCTGGTCTCCAAATATTTCCCCTAGTCTTTTCTGTGTTTGCCGTTCCTTCAACCTGGAATGACTCTCCTCTTCCTCTACAAACTTTATGGTATTTTGTGCTTCAAAAGGAAGAATGTGTGGGGCTGGCACTGTGGCGTAGTGGATAAAGCTGCCACCTGCAGTGTCGACATCCCATATGAGCCCGGTTTGAATTCTGGCTGCTCCACTTCCAATCCAGCTCTCTGCTGTGGCCTGGGAAAGCAGTAGAAGATGGCCCAAGTCCTTGTACCCCTGTACCCGAGTGAGAGACCTGGAAGAAGCTCCTGGCTTCTGGCTTCAGATCGGCTCAGCTCTGGCTGTTGCAGCCATCTGGGGAGTGAACCAGTGGATGGAAGACCTCTCTCTCTCTCTGCCTCTCCTTCTCTCTCTGTATAACTCTGACTTTCGAATAAATAAATCTTTAAAAGAAAAGAAAGATCAACTTCTTGGTACATGGTTTCCTGGAAATCAATGTACAAGACTTGTGGACAGGATATGGCCAAGCCAAGGCTGAATGGCCAAAAGGATCCCTTTTGAGGTCTGTTGCTGCAGTAGACTCTACCAAGTGTTCTCAACCCACAAGGCTGACTTTGCTCCTCTTAATCCTCTTCCACTCCCTCCCCTGTGCTGGAATTGCAGGGAGCCCATTCTTTCTGCAGTGTCCTCTAGCTTGTATTGAGAAAGCTTAACATTTGGCCACTTTAAAGGATAATGCTTACAGGAGCTCTGCTGTTCATCCAAGAACATGTGTGTTTTTGGTTGGTTTTTTTTTGGACAGGCAGAGTTAGACAGTGAGAGAGAGAGAGAGGGAGAGAGAGAGAGAGAGAGAGAGAGAAAGAAAGGTCTTCCTTTTTCTGTTGGTTCACCCCCCAAGTGGCTGCTACGGCCAGCGCAGTCAGGAGCCAGGTGCTTCTCCTGGTCTCCCATGGGGTGCAGGGCCCAAGCACTTGGGCCATCCTCCACTGCACTCCTGGGCCACAGTAGAGAGCTGGACTGGAAGAGGAGCAACTGGGACAGAATCTAGCACCCCAACCGGGACTAGAACCCAGTGTGCCGGCGCCGCAGGCAGAGGATTAGCCTAATGAGCCACGGCACCAGCCCCAGAACATGTACTGATGGGTGCAGCTGGAGCTCAGAGGCAAGAAGCTGATAAGGTACACAGCAACGCAAACTTCACATGCTCCAGGCACACTCGCTAGTTAGTGTTGTAAAAACTACACACGTCCTTTGCATCATCTCTCCTTTTGCCTGGGGCACTCTTTCCCTTAAATCTTTGTTCAAATATTCTCTCAGTGTTTTAGTACTACATCAGTCCTCATTTCTCAATTCTCTTGCACTATCTTTTCCTTTTTTCAATAGAGCTTATCACCTTCTGCTATATGAGATAATTTACTTATGCACGATATTCTGTTTATCGTCCATTGCCTGTTTTTCCCAGACAGAATGTAAGCTCTAGGAGGACAAGGAACTTGTCAGTATATCCCAAGAGTCTAGAATAGAGCCTTGGCACAAAATAGGCACACAAATATTTGTGGAGGGGCCGGAGCTGTGGTATATAGCAGGTTAAGCCTTTGCTTGCAGTGCCAGCATCTCATATGAGTGCCAGTGCAAGTCCTGAGTGCTCCATTTCTGATCCAGCTCCCTGCTAATGTGCCTGGGAAAGCAGTGGAAGACAGCCTAAGTACTTGGGTCCCTGTACCCCAGAGGAGACGGGGGCTCCTGTTTCAGAATGGCCCAGCTCTGGCTGCTGTGGCCATCTGGGGAGTGAACCAGCATGTAGAAGATTGATCTCTCTCCTCATTCTCTCTGTATTAGGAAAAAAAAAAAAAAAATATATATATATATATATCGTTGAGTGACTAAATGAATTACTAGAGAGAAACATAATATGTAAAAAGAGATATAAATTCAACTAGATAAAGCCATCACCTGCAGTGCCAGCATCCCATATGTGTACCGGTTCAAGTCCCAACTGCTCCACTTCTGGTCCAGCTCTCTGCTATGGCCTGGGAAAGCAGTAGAAGATGGTCCAAGTTCTTGGGCCCCTGCACTCACATGGGAGACCAGGAAGAAGCACCTGGCTCCTGGCTTTGGATTGGCGCAGCTCCAGCCGTTGCGGCCAATTGGGGAGTGAACCAGCAGATGGAAGACCTCTCTCTCTCTGCCTCTCCTCTCTCTGTGTAATTCTGACTTTCAAATAAATAAAAAAATATATAAAATAAATAAATATTTAAAATACCAATAACAAATTTCTTGAGTTTCCTACCAGGTAATGTCAAAGTCCCACATCAAGAGTCAACTAAAAAACCCCACTCATTGTGATTTGGCTACTAGATGCTGCAGCAGGCTTGAGCTAGGCGTGAGTTTTCTTCCCCTTTTGACAGGACAACAGTAGTAGTACTTGATCTGCCCTGGTAGACTGTTGGTTAACTCAACACTAGTGGACTTTGGAACACTTAGGAAGCTGCTGCAAGGGTGTTAAGCTAGCTAGAGTCATTTACAGGATTCTGTGACAAGCAGCTGGAGCCCTTGGAGAAAACAAATAGAACCATGGGACAGAAAGGTCTTCTGAATGGTATAGACATATCCCTGAGCATGCAGGAAGATGGCCAGAGTGTACTTCTTTCAGTTTTTTTTTTTTTTTTTAAGGGTCTGGACATGCCGCCTTTTTTTTTTTTTTTTAAGATTTATTTATTTTATTTGAAAGTCAGAGTTACAGTGAGAGAGAGAGAGAGAGAGAGAGAGAGAGAGAAAGAGAGAGGAGAGAAATCTTCCTTCTGCTTGTTCACTCTCCAAATGGCTGCAAGGACTAGGGCTGGGCCAGGCTGAAGCCAGGAGCCAGGAGCTAGGAGCCTCATCTGGGTCTCGATGTGAGTGCAGGGGCCCAAGGACTTAGGCCATCCTTTGCTGCTTTTCCCAGGCACATTAGCAGGGAGCTGGGTTGGAAGTGGAGCAACCGGGACTAGAACTGGTGCCCATATGGGATGCTGGGGCTGCAAACAGTGGCTTAACTTGCTGCCTCACGTTGCCAGCCCCACACTTGCAGTTTTAAGGAAACTGACTTTCACATTTCAATTTCCATTTCATTCTTTCCTGAAACTAATCTCTTTGAGAACAGGCCTGATTACATGATAATCTATTTTTTAAAGATTTATTTAATTACTTGAAAATGATAATCTATTTTTAAAAGAGAGAAATATCTTTGTCTGGTACCACAATTCAAACTAGGGCTCATCCCTCCGGAGTGTTATAAATCTTCTTGGACCAAAAAGAAGGGTGTATCAAAACACCAACTTCAGGGGTTGGTGCTATGGCATAGACAATTATATAGACAGCCTCTGTTTGCAGTGCTCTATAATTTAAAAAATGTTCCAGGGGCTTGGCACTGTGGCTTAGCAGGTTAAAGCCCTAGCCTGCAGTGCCAGTATCCCCTATGGGTTTGGGTTCGAGTTCTGGCTGTTCCAATTCCAATCCAGCTCCTTGCTAATGCGCCTGGGAAAGCAGCTGAGATCGGCTCAAGTGCTTGGGGCCCTGAACCCACATGCAAGACCCAGAAATTCCTGGAGTCCTGGGAGAAGCTCCTGGCTTTTGGCTTTGGATCGGCTAAGCTCCATTTGGGGAGTGAACCAGCAGATGGAAGACCTCTCTCTCTTTCTCTCTGTAACTCTGTTTTTCAAATAAATAAATAAAATAAATCTTAAAATAATCAAGGCACTTTTGTCTATTGACAGATGAAGAGATAAATAAAATATAGATATATAGTAGAATATTATTCAACCTTTAAGAGGAGTAAAATTCTCACTTATGCTACAACATGGATGAACCTCAACTGAATAAAATAGGCCATTCATCAGAAAGAAAAATACTGTATGATTCCACTGACCCAAAGTACTTAGAGTAATCAAAAATCACAGACAGTAGAATGATAGTTGCAGTGAGCTGAGGAAACAGAATGGAGTTCTTATTGAATGGTTACAGATTTTCAGTGTTACAAGATGAAGAGTCCTGAAAATGGATGACAATGATGGTTGCATATCACTGGTAATGCACTAGTCACTGAACTATACACTTAAAAAAATACTTATTTACTTGAGAGGCAGAAAGACAGATCTCCTACCTGCTAGTTCACTCCCCCAGTGCCTCCAATGGTTGGGGCCGGGCATTCAGAAACTGGAACAGGGGACTCAAAGCAGGGTGGCAGGAACCCAATTCACTTGAACTGTCACCACAGCCTCCCAGGGTGTGCATTAGGAAGATGGAGTCAGCAGCTGGCCTGGCTTTGACACTAAGCAGCCATATGTGGAAAACTGGTGTCTTAACCAGTAGGCCAAGTGCCTGCCCCTGTACACTTAAAAATGGTTGAAATCAGGGGACAGAGCTGTGGGCCAGCTGTGGCGCAGTGGATTAATGCCCTGGCCTGAAGTGCTGGCATCCCATATGGGCGCTGGTTCAAGATCCAGCTGCTCCACTTCTGATCCAGCTCTCTGCTATAGCCTGGGAAAGCAGTAGGGGATGGCTCAAGTCCTTGGGCCCCTGCACCTGTGTGGAAGACCGGGAAGAAAACGCCTGGCTCCTGGCTTCAGATCGGCACAGCTCCAGCTGTTGTGGCCAAATGGGGAGTGAACCATCGGATGGAAGACCCCCCCCCCCCCCCCGTGTAACTCTGACTTTCAAATGAATAAATAAATCTTTAAAAATAGTCAAAATGGTAAACCCAGGGGGTTTCAAGTAGATCTATCTGCAGAGGGAGTGGCTTGGCTTTGAAATACAAATTTACAAGCCTGCACTGAGATACTCTGGAATCACAATTGCCATTGCAGTATGGATCATTCAAAATCAAGTGCCTTTTTTTGAAGGGTGTTAGAGAACTGATGGATAAAACTCAGTGGGTTAAGCCACTGCCTACAGTGCTGGCATCCCATACCAGCACCCGTTGAAGTCCCTGCGGCTCCACTTCCCATCCAGTTCCCTGCGGGTGCACGTGGGAAAGCAGCTGAGGATGGCCTATGTCCTTGGACCCCTGCACCGTAGGAGACCTGGAGGAAGCTCCAGGCCCAGCCCCAGCTGTTGCAGGCACTTGGGGAGTGAACCAGAGGATGGAAGATCTCTCTTTCTTTGTAACTCTGCAATTCGAATAGATAAAATATATCTTTAAATTAAAAAAAAAAAAAACTCATTGACAGGAACTTTAACATTTCTTTAAGATTTTGTATGGCTTTTTAAAAATAAATAAAATGAAATGTTTACTCATCTCATTCCATTTTCTAAAGGTTTGGTGTTTTCTATTTTCCATTAACAATAACAAAAACTCTTACTTAAGCTGACCTTGGAGTTTCTCCAGCCTGCCTTGTGGCACGCAGCAGCACCTGTTCGCGTAGGGTTGCTCCACTTATCCAACTCCCTGCCAATGGCCTGGGAAAAGCGGCAGAAGATGGTCTGGATGAAGCTCCCGGCCCCTGGGCCCTGGCCCCGGCTTCCGACTCCGCCATTGCCGCCATCTGGGGAGTGAACCTGCCGATGGAAGATCTTTCTCTTTGTGTTTCTCTCTATATATAACTCGGGCTTTCAAATAAGTAAATCAATCAGCACGTCTTTTTAAAAAAGTTCCTCTGTCAACTTCAAAAGTGCAAGAATGTGTAGGTTTTCAAAATAATTGTAGGCAGTATGTTAGGACATGTGTTTGGAGAGCGTGTTCTAGGTCCCTCTGGTTACACTCTGCAGTCCCCGAGCCAGTGGCACGGATTGCCCCGGAGCGTGAGAAATCTAGCACCACAGGGTGGCTGCGGCCCGCCCTTTCCCGACACCGGCAGGGCATCCGACGGCCTCCTGCCTCACTTCCTCATCTGGGCCTGCTCCCAAGCCGCAGACGCTGCGTTCCCGCCAGATAAATTTAAGTTTCATTTCCAGACGCCTCAGCTGGTTCCTCCTCCCGCGGTTCTTTCCCGAGTTCTTCATTCCGGGAGCAGAGAGCGCCAGTCATGGATCCCCGGGCCGGAAAGAAGACGCGGGTATCTTCGAAGGCCGGGGCCGCCGCCGCCAAGGTTTCGGCGCAGGGTGTGAGCGACGCCCTGTCAGAGCTCAACGACTCTCCCGTGGCCCGCAGGGCGCCCCTGCCCCAGGCGGGGAGCTGCGGTCCGGCCGGGGAGAAGGGACCGAAGGGCCGCGCGCCAAGAGCCTGCTCCAAGAAGGCAGCCCCGCGCGCGGAGGCCGCCGCGCCCCCGGTCGCTGCCACCGCCGTCCGGGTACAGGCACAGGTGGTCCCCGCGGAGGGGCCGGAGCCTCCGGCGGCCCCAGCGCCGCCGGTTTCCAGGGCAGGATCTCGCCGCAAGGCGGGTGAGCGCTCCGCTCGCGAGCAGAGTCCTCCGTCCGGGTCCCACGAGGTGCCCCGACCCGGCGCGTCGATTCAGACCCCGACTCTTAGCCGGAGCCAGGCGGCGCCGGGCGGCTGGAAGCCCCGGGAGGTGCTGGAGAAATTAAAGCTGAAACGCCAGGAAATCTCGGATGCGGCGGCGATCGTGAACAAGGTCGTGGACCGCCTGTTGCAGAGACTGCAAAACCTCGAATGGGAGTTTAAAGACGTCGCGCTGCTGCACACCGGCAGCTACTACGAGCGCGTGAAGGTGAGTGAGCAGCGCAGCGCCGGCCTTTCGGGGCCGGACTCCCACACTCATCCTTGCCGACTCCCGGAAGCGCGTTCCCCACCGCCCCAGCTCGCGATCTGTCATTCCGCCTTTCCCCCCGACCCCCCATTCCCCGAAGTAACTCAGATTCTTGTTCTGAGAGCTCCAGGTAAATCGACAGTTTGTTCTTTTATCCACCTGCACACCGGACCACCACAGAACCGATCCGCATTGATTGCCGGCTACTCTCAAGACACTGATGGTTGGGGCAGTTTAAATGTACAGATGTTCTCAAGCTTTTGTGTGTGTGTGTGTGTGCAACTTGTTGAAACTTTTACTTGGTATAGAGTTGTCCTTCAGTGTACGAAGTTAATTGAAAATGAATCTTAATGGAGAGTGGGACTGGGAAGAGTAGAGAGAAGAGGATGAGGAGTGGGAGTGTGGCTGAGTGGATAGGGAGGGTGGGAAGAATAACTATATTCTTAAAGTTGTACATATGAAATTTGTATTCCTTAAAATATAAATTAATTAATTAAAACTGAATAAGGCCCAAATAAGTATATAAGTGTACCACATTAGTGAACATAAAAACTGATATTGTAAATATGTCAATATTACCAATATAATATAAAACTAATAATATACAACATACATATATATTACAGTTATGTATGTATACAAAATTTACCTTAAAATCATGTATAAGTTAGAGGGATAAAATCATTAAGGGAATTTTGAATTAATGTATCTCTTTTTTTGTCTTGATGTTAAGTCATTGAAATGTTGTAATTTTTTTAGTATGCTATGGGCATAAAGATGAACAAATCACCACTGGACCAGAAAGAATATTTATGGTTATGTGACATAATAAAAATGACTTTAAAAATTGAAAAAACAACAGGAAAGTAGACATGTACTCAGCATAACAGTGCTATGCGTGGTGATAGCAATCTGAGGGCCCAAGGTGACTCTCAACGTGGATAATTTGATCTGAGAAAAATTCCACAAATCGGCATATCTAACAGAATTTTTCCCATGAGGAGGCTATTTACCCCGTAGGAAAAATATCTTAAATCCTCCTGCCACACCCAACCTCCATTCTTTCTTCTGTTTTTTGTACAATATCATCAGAAGCCCACAGTGAGTGATGTCTTAAAAATTTAAGAGCAATCTCCTGGAGGTACTGAAAGACGTACTTCCTAAATACACATCTGATGTAGTTGCTGTTAAGTGTGTCCTCCAATGCTCCATTTGTCTGTGGGCGGTTGAGTCACTAAAGTGATTTGTGTTTGTGTGAATGGAAGGTTTAGGAGCAGAGAAACAAACTCCTCACTAGAGTTTATTTCCTGACCAGTGACAAATTGCCCTGGTTAGGTTTGGCCTAGTCTTTCAGTTTTCTGAGTGCGGGGCTACACACTATGAACAGAGATGGATTGCTTATATTTGTTAGATCATAGTAACTTATTTTAGAGTTACATACTGGCTTTATTCAGCTAACTGTGTTCTTCCAGAAGGGGGATGATAGTAAAACTCTAGATTTAGGAGTTTAGGATTATAAACTCTTTTTTATAAAATATTTATTTATTTATTTATTTATTTGAAGGGCAGTTACAGAGAAACAGAGGCAGAGAGAGAAAGAGAAAGGTCTTCCATCTGCTGGTTCATTCCCCAATTGGCCGCAATGGCCGGAGCTGTGCTGATCCAAAGCCAGGAGCCAGGAGCTTCTTCTGGGTCTCCCATGAGGGTGCACGGGCCCAAGGACTTGGACCATCTTCCACTGCTTTCCCAGGCCATAGCAAAGAGCTAGATTGGAAGTGGAGCAGCCAGGACTCGAACCGGTACCCACATAGGATGCTGGCACTGCAGGCGCCCTCAGGATTATAAATTCTTTAGAGCTGGCTGAATATTATGCACCTCTGAATTTCTAAGCCTTATCACATAGTAAGCATTCAAGGCAGGGAATGAGTAGGTTAAAGAAGAAAGAAGGGGCAGGCATTTGGCTCAATGATCAGGACTCGACCAGGCCAAAGCCAGAAGCTTTTTCTAAGTCTTCCATGGGGGAGCAGGGTCCCAAGGACCTGGGCCATCTTCCACTGCTTTCCCAGGCCATAGCAGAGAGTTGGATTGGAAGTAGAGCAGCCAGGAATCAAATTGGCGCCCATATGGCCTGCCAGTTTCATAGGCAGCAGCTTCAACCACTATGCTACAACACCAGTCCCTTGTTTTCGCTTTTCAGTTAGATTGTAAGTTCCATTATCAAAGAATGTTTTATACAATTCTGTACACACTTCAGCTATGCATTTTGTTGGGGATAGATTCAGTGATATTTGTTGTCAAAGGCAGTGTACTTTTTTTTTTTTTTACAGGCAGAGTGGACAGTGAGAGAGAGAGAAACAGAGAGAAAGGTCTTCCTTTGCCGCTGGTTCACCCTCCAATGGCCGCCACTGCCGGCGCGCTGCGGCCGGCGCACTGTGCTGATCCGATGGCAGGAGCCAGGTACTTATCCTGGTCTCCCATGGGGTGCAGGGCCCAGGTACTTGGGCCATCCTCCACTGCACTCCCTGGCCACAGCAGAGAGCTGGCCTGGAAGAGGGGACTAGAACCCGGTGTGCTGGCGCTGCAAGGCGGAGGATTAGCCTAGTGAGCTGCAGCACCGGCGGCAGTGTACATATTGATATTTGCATTTTTTTTAACTCCAATCATTTTTTGTTGTTAATAAATATTATTTCTGGCTGGACTCAGATTTAGAAGTAGCCACTCTCAGAAAAGGTAGCCTACTTCTCTTAGCAATCTGTTCTGGTGTTTTTTTTTGTTTGTTTGTTTTCGGCCTCTTTCATTCTCCTGGCCAAAAGTTTAGCATAATCTACAGCCTCTTCCTTATTCTTACTACGCTGCTTCTCCAGAGCAATATGCCAGCGTTTGAGTTGTGGGATAATAACTAGATGCTGAATCTTGGGTGCTTTGGTCCTGGGTTTCTTACCTTCTTCATCTAAGGGCTTTCTTACAACACACTGGCGTGCGTCATCTTCTTTAGAGAGATTGACAAGTTTGCAGATTTTGCAGGCTCTTTTTGGACCCAGGAGGTGAGGCACTGTGGTTTTGCTTTCTTTCTTCAGTTCTCCTTGATCTCTAACAAGAAAGCCCCTTACTCAACAGTAGGCAGACATCAAGACATCTTGCTTCATGGGAAAACTTTGTCATTCCCACAGCTGATTTGGACCATGTAACCTTTCCATTCTTCACCTAGAGCATCGGCAGCAACTTCTGTATCCATATGCTTCTCATAAGAAGCATAAAGTTCACGTTGATCATTCACTTCCATGAGTTTCTGGCAGCCACTGGCTGGGAAGGAGATGTTCAGCTTCATTTCAAAGCAGTTGATGGTCACCAAGGCGCCATGGAAGAGACAATATTTGGATCTTATACTCTTTTAGGACTGATGATCACTCTTATAATTCCATCTAAATTTGCTTTGTTTTGTTTGTTTGAAATACAGAGAGTCAGAGAGAAACATTGATTTCCCATCTGCTAGTTTACTTCCCAAATGCCTGCAACAGCCAGAGAACTCAATCCAGGTCTCCCACATAGGTGACAGGGAGCCAAGTAATTGAGCCATCACCTGTTGCCTCCCAGGGTGTGTATTAGCAGGAACGTGAAATCAGGGGCAGAGCTAGGACTCAAAGCCAGGAACTCTGACGTAGGATGCAGGCGTCCCGAGCAGCTTCTTAACCACCATACCAAATGCACACCCATGAAAATTTCTTGAAAGCTAAGTGAGCCAGACTTTCATCATCCTATATGTTGCACATGATTCTTGTTACGTAAATAACAATTCAGTTCAATAATATGGAGGATCCAAAGGAAAGATAATGTTATTAGTGGTCTTTTTTTTTTTTTTTTTGCCAGGCAGAGTAAGATAGTGAGAAAGAGACAGAGACAGAGAGAGTTATAGACAGTGAGAGAGAGAGACAGAGAGAAAGGTCTTCCTTCCGTTGGTTCACCCCCTAATGCCCACTATGGCCGGCGCTGTGCCGATCTGAAGCTAGGAGCTGGGTGCTTCCTCCTGGTCTCCCATGCGGGTGCAGGGGCCCAAGCACTTGGGCCATCCTCTGCTGCCCTCCCGGGCCATTAGCAGGAGCTGGATTGAAAGTGGGACAGCCAGGACACAAATCTAGTGCTCATGTGGGATGCTGGTGTCACAGGTGGCTCGGTTACAACCTTTTAAAGCAAAATGACTTGAGCATTACATTTCCATTCACAAACCTAGCTGACTTACTTTTCAAACAAGGAGTGTCCTAAGCAGTGTCTTACTCATTGGGCCAAATGCCTGTCCCTGGATGGATATTAAAAACTTACATAATTTTATATAATTTTATTATAAAAATAATGCTTGTTAATGATAAAAAAGAAAAAAAAAAACTTGAGTGTAGACCCTGCAAACTAAAACCAGTAATATTCTTCAACCTGCTCCCAGCTCCACACTTCCCACTTCCAGATGGTATAAATATTAGGAACCTTGTTTTTTTACTGTAAAGTTTTAATTGGAAATTTCAGCAAAAAGAATTGCAATTGCCTAGAAAATATTTACAATCAAACATTTCAGTGTTATTTTTACTGTTTTTTAGATTTCTGCTCCTGATGAGTTTGATGTCATGTTTAAACTGGAAGTCCCCAGAATTCAGCTGGAAGAATATTGCAACAGTGGTGCTCATTACTTTGTGAAGTTTAAAAGAAATCCCAAAGGAAGTCCTCTAAATCAGTTTTTAGAAAATGAATTATTATCTGCCTCTAAGATGCTGTCAAAGTTTAGGAAAATCATTATGGAAGAAATTAAAAGCATTGAAGGTAAGGTTTTGAGTGTGGGTTCTTTTTTTCTTTTTCTTTTCCTGTAAGTGTAGATCTCAAAGGTCTAAAGTGGCTTACTAATTACCAGTGAACACTCAGCCTCCCTACCCCACACTGTTGACTACCACTTCCTTCTAGAAGCAGCTGTTAGCTCACGGATTTAGCCTACTGCATCTTCTTGGTGTTCTTCCCAAGCGTTGAGTGGCAAAAGTTCAGTCTTCACTGAATATTCACTGAACTGCTGCCTGTGCCCCTCCGTAAGTGTGCCTGGATAAGGTTCCTATCTGCTCCTGAAGCTCAGAACCTGTGTCTCTACCAAGTGTAGAGATCATGTAACACCAAGAGTGCCCTGCAGGGAAAGAACCGGGAGAACAGATAGCAGTAGGGGTGGTGTAGGGTGGTGGAGCAAGACCCCGAGGTAGAGAAGAGCTTGGGAAGATCAAGGAACAAAAGGACAAGGGGACATGTGACAGGAAATGAAGTTGAGGAAGTAGCCAGGAGCTGGATCCATTAAGACTTGTAACTCCTGGGAATTCAGATTTTATTCTGTGTTCATTGAGAAGGGAGTAATTATTGGTGTTGTATTCTGTTCTTGGTTTCTGTGGAAAAGATATTATAAGAAGGCAAATAGGGAAGTTCAAAAGGAAAATACTGTAGTTGAGATGAGAGATGGTGGTGGCTTAGCTGAGACGGGTTGAGGGCTGGGGATGGAGAGAAGCAGACGGACCCAAGCAGAGGCAGTACTTGTGTAGGGGCTGGGAGGATTGGATCAAGATGCCTTCTGGCTTTGTGACTTGAGCTCCTGGGCAGACTGATTGTGCTGTTCTCTAAAACAGAAAGGACTGAAGAAGAAACTATTTTGGGGTAAGGATTAAGAGTTTGGATTTAGAGATTTCTGTGACATGTCAAAGCAGATGTGTAAAGTACGCAGCTGGGCGGGGGTTTGGAGTGCAGAGAATACATTTGGATGTAAGTAGACATTCAGAAGTCATCAATGGGAGTATTTTGGCACAGCAGGTTAAGCCACCTCTTGAACTGTCTGCATCCCATACTGGAGTGCCAATTCAAGTCCCAACTACTCGACTTCAGTCTAGCTCCTGGCTAATGTAAGAGATGGGAAAGGCAGCAGAAGATGGCCCACATACATGGGTTGCTGTTACCCATGTGGGAGACCCTAATGGAGTTCCTGGCTCCTGGCTTCAGCCTATCTCAACCCAACCCTGACTGTTGGCAACCTTTTAGGGAGTGAATCAGTGGATGGAAGTTATCTCTAAATCTCTCTCTTACTCTGCCTTTCAAATAAATAAATAAATAAATCTTACAAAACAAACAAGCAAACAAACAGATATCATCAACAGGTAGGTGGCATTGGTAAGGGATGAGACTCCCGAAGCAGACAATGCAGATTAACCCAATCAATCTAAACTGCACTCATTGATTCCATGATGTGCAGGTGTTCTAGGTGTTCAGGATACATTAGTGAGCAGGTAGATGATGGCCTCTACCCTTCTGTAGCTCATAATCTTGAAAGCATAGATGTGCAATGAATAACAAATGGGAATACTACAATGCTTTGTAGTATACTACAAAGTAGTAAGTACTGCGATAAAAAGTACAACAAAGTGGGAAGGATCAGTAGTGCTGGGGACAGGAGTGAGGGTAGAGAATTGAAATGTTAGGCGGTTACAGGCTGGGGAGAAGAGAATGAGCGAAAGGGCAATATGAGTGCAGAAGGAGTGGTTGGTATATAGGATGCTGCCGACAGCCAGAAAGCCAATGGGTTTCTTCTCTGGTTTTGTGGGATTGGTGACTTTGACAAAAGTAGTTTCAGTGGGTGATGAACACAGAGAGGTGAAAGGGCAAGGATGCAGGGAAGCAGCCTGTCTAGGCCACTCTCGAAAGCTGTGGTTAAGAGTGTGAGGAGGAGGAAGCGGTAGGATCGCAGGGAGGTCTACACAGAGTGAGAGACTCTGTTGTCCTTTGTATGAGTGTAAGGATGACCCACGAGGGAGGGAGGCATGGCTGAGGTGGAGAGGGAACAACTGAGAGCATGGTGCTTGAGGAGGCGAATGGAGAAGGGATCCAGAGACCACGTGCAGGGGTGGCCTTTGAAAGGTGGGAGGTATTCTAATTGTATTCATTCCTCTGTATTTCCAGAGAAACTAAGATTGATCAGCCCTTCCTTCCCTTTTATATGTTTAAACATATACAGATGTTGCCGTGGAGAGGAAGAGAAGAGGAAGTCCTGCTGTAACCCTTGTTATTAAAAAACCTCGAGAAATATCTGTGGATATAATCCTGGCTTTGGAATCAAACAGTAGCTGGCCTGCTAGCACCCTGAAAGGCCTGCCCATCAAACTCTGGCTTGGTTCAGACACTAGGAAGCGACTAAGACAAAAGCCATTTTACCTTGTGCCTAAGCACGCAAAGGAAGGAAATGGGTTTCAAGGTATTTTATTTTGTTTTATTAATAATATTTTATTTATTTGAAAGGCAAAGTGACACAGAGAGAGGGAGACACAGAGAGAGATCTTTCATCTACTGGCTCACTCTCCAAATGGCCGAGGGGCCCAGGCTGAAGACAGGAACCTGGAACTCCCTACAAACCTCCCATTTGGGTGGCAGGGGTCCAAGCACTTGGGCCATCTTCTGCTGCTCTCCCAGGCCATTAGCCTGGAGCTGGATCAGAAGCGGAGCTCCTGGGACTCAAACCAGCCATCATCAGCTTTATCTGCTGTGCCACAATGCCGGCCCAGTTTTGAAGGTATTTTAGAGGTGAAGGTATCCTTAAAGATATGTGACTTGTCAATATTATCTACTAGGACAGTATGCAATCAATTACCAACTAATACTGTTAGCATTTCAAGAGCCATCAGTGTAAGTGAACCACCTGGTGGGAGTTTGGTGAGGCACAGAATTGAAAAGGTCATAGTTGTAGCAGTAATATCAGATACTCAGCTTTAAAATCTTTAGTAACCTGTATTTGATTTTATCCTTTTTTTTTTTTTTTAATAAAGAAAGAAAGGCAGTATTGGCCTTGGAGCCAGACTGTCCTGGTTCTGAATCCTGATTGTGGGCTCCTGGGTTAGTTACCAAGCCTCTCTAACCCTGTTTGCTCATCTCTACACAGTGGGTTTAATCAAAGCTGCTTGAAAGATTCTGGGAAGATGGAAATGAGACAGTGCATGTAAAGTTCCTACTTTAGTTCATGGCAGTTACATTGTTAGTACACAGAGTTGTCAGAATTCCATGGAAAACTGAACTAAAAGATGATGTGTATTTTCTGTGAGCCTTGTGAAGCTCCTTTATATTGCCACCAGAGGCTAGACCGTCACTCTCGGCCACGCTTCTGCCTTTCCTTCATCTTCCCATGCTGCTGCTGCCATTCCTCTCCAGCCTCAGCTGGAGCTGGGTCGTGGTTAGCGCTGCTGTTTCACCTGTGATGCTAGCCACGCCAATCACCGCAGGTTTTTATGCTGCACAATGGATGACGCTGAATTTCCAAGAGGCAGACTGAACTGGTCTACAGTTACAACTGAATAGTGGGGAACAATGGTGGTATTTCTTTCATATGGAAGAAAAAATATATACAGTTATTAATTTTCTCCTGTAAATTTGCACGGAACTTTTGGTACCCACTACTCGGTGGCAGGAACCCAGTTGCTTATGCCATCATTGCTGCCTTCCAGGGTCTGCATTAGCAGGAAGCTGGAGCAGGAGCTGGAGCAGGGGTGCATCCTAACTGGCATCTTTTTTTTTTTTTTTAAGGTTTATTTATTTATTTGAAAGACAGAGTTAGAGAGAGGGAAAGACAGGAAATCTTCCGTTCACTGGTTCACTCCCTAGATAGCCACAACGGCTGGGGTCGGACCAGGTCAAAGCCAGGAGCCAGGAGCTTCCTCTGGGTCTCTCATGTGGGTGCAGGTGCCCAAATACTGGGGCCATCCTTGCTGCTTTCTCATGCCTTTATCAGGGAGCTGGATCAGAAGTGAAGCAGCTGGGATTCAAATTGGGGCCCATATGAGATGCCAACAGTGCAGGCAGTGGCTTAACCTACACTACAGTGCCCGCCCCTTTACAGCATATTTTTATAGATGGTCAAATAGTAAATCATTTGCAATTTTGCCAGATATTGCAAAAAAATCTCTTCCATAGGCATTCTGTCAATTTGCATTTCTACAACAGTGTAATACAAGTACCTGTTTCACACTTAACTTCATTGACAGAACTTAAGGTGTGTTGTTGTTGTTTTTCTGCCTTTTTTTTTTTTTTTTTTTTTTGACAGGCAGAGTGGACAGTAAGAGAGAGAGAGAGACAGAAAGAAAGGTCTTCCTTTACCATTGGTTCACCCTCCAATGTCTGCTATGGCGGCGCGCTGCAGCTGGCGCACCGCGCCAATCCGAAGGCAGGAGCCAGGGTGCTTCTCCTGGTCTCCCATGCGGCTGCAGGGCCCAAGCACTTGGGCCATCCTCCACTGCACTCCCTGGCCACAGCAGAGAGCTGGACTGGAAGAGGGGCAACCGGGACAGAATCCAGCGCCCAGACCGGGACTAGAACCCGGTGTGCCAGCGCCACAGGCGGAAGATTAGCCTATTGGGCGCCGGCCTGTTTTTTTGTTTTTTGTTTTGAGTGAGCAGAGCTAGATTTATTGGACACACTGCAGGGGCATAGTGGGCAGGCAGGACAGCTAGAAGTTGACCATTACTGCCTTGTTAAGCATTTTTCCAATTGCAATTTTTGCCAGTAATCTAAAAAATGAAAAATAATATCTCAATGTAATTTTTAAGTAAACTTTTTGTTTTAATAAACCTTAGATTTGGGACTGACACTGTGACGTAATAGGCTAAGCCTCCACCTGCAGTGCCCGCATCCCATATGGGCCCCAGTTAGTGTCCTCATTGCTCCTCTTCTGATCCAACTCACTGCTATGGCCTGGGAAAGCAGTAGAAGATGGCCCAACAAAATTTAGAAGATGCTATAAATATCATTTTCAACTTGTGTAAACATAAGAAAGAGAAAAAAAAAAAGAAGCTCAAGTCCTTGGGTCCCTGCACCTTCAAAGGAAACCCAAAAGAAGCTCCTGGCTTCTTGCTTCGGATCCGCCCTGCTTAGGCCATTGTGGCCATTTGGGGAGCAAACCAGCAGATGGAAGACCTTTCTGTCTGTTTCTCACTCTCTCTGTAACTCTCTCTCAAATAAATACATAATAATTTTTTAGAAAAGAAAACCTTAGATGTACAGAAAACTTGCACAGATAACAAGATAACACAGGGTTCTCAAATACCCCAAGCCCATTTCTCTGTTATTACTAGCTTACATTAATATGATCCATTTGTCACAATTAATGAACCAATCTGGCTACATTATTGTCAACTAAAGTCAGTAACTTATCCATGTCTTCCTAGTTTTCAGCTGATGTCTTTTTTCTGTTGGTAGAATGTCTGTTAACTGGAGTTTATCTAGTTTTCCGTATGATCAGACTGGAGTTGGAGGGAGGAAGTTCACAGAGCTAAATAAAGTGCCATCCTCATCTTATCATTTTAAGGGTACAATGCCCTGACCACAACTTAACACTGTTCGTGTTACCCTTGATTACCCAGCTGAGGATGGATTTAGGAGGTTTCTCCAGTGTTCAGTGGACTCTCCCCCTTCTCATATGGTACTGTTTGAAAGGAAGCCGCTGTGCACAGCTCACCCTTGATGAGAAGGGAACTATACCCCACCTCTGAGAGCAAGTGCAGATGATCTCCAGGTTACAACGGCTCCGCTTAGGAATTTCAGCTCTTGAATGTTGTGAAAGCACCATGCATTCGGTAGAAACCGTACTTCAAGTTTTAGATTTTGATCCTTTTCCAAGCTGGCAGTAGGCAGCATGATACTGTCTTAATGTTGGGCACTGTAAACAAGCTATAGTCCCAATCAGTCATATCATCATGAAGGTTATCAACTAATACTCCATGGTGTATTATGTTGCCAATGACTTTGGGATACTAGAATTCAATACATTATATGAGATAATATTTTTAAAAATATTTATTCATTTATTTATTAAAGAGAAACAGATCAGTCTTCCATCTGCTGGTTCACTCCCCAATGGTCACAACAGCCAGGTCTGGGCCAGGCTGAAGCCAGGATCCTGGAACTCTATCCTGGTCTCCCACATGGGTGGCAGAGGCCCAAGTACTTGGGTCATCATCCACTGCTTTCCCAGGAGCATTAGCAGGAAGCAGAGTAGCCAGGACTCAAATTGTCACTCTGATATGGGCTGCCATGTCCCAAGTGGCAGTTTAACCCACTATGCTACAAAGCCAGCCCCTACATGAGATGTAAACACTTTGTTATAAAGTAGGCTTTGTGTTAGGTGATTTTGTCCAGCCAAAGGCTAATTTAAGTGTTCTGAGCATGTTTGAAGTAAGCTAGCTTGGGCCCAGTGTCGTGGCACAGTGGGTTAAGCCCTGTCTTTAACACCGCACCCCATGTCATAGCCCTGGCTCAAGTCCCAGCTATTCCACTTCCAACCCAGCTTCCTGCTAATGGGCCTGGGAAAGCCCCAGAAGTTGACCCAAATGTTTGAGCCTCTGCCAACCATATGGGAGATTCTGATGGAACTCCTGGCTCCTGCCTTTTGCCTGACCCAGCCCTAGCTTCTGTGACCAATTGTGGAGTGAACCACCAGTTGGACGAGAGCTCTCTGTGTCTCCCTCTCTGTCACTCTGCCTTTCAGTAAATAAATCTTTTAAAAATAAAAATAAACTGGCATATAAAATTATACATATTTATGGGATACAGTGTCATGTTTCAATATAGGTACACATTATATAATGTCCAAATCATGGTAAACATAGCTATCTCCTCAAACATTTACCATTCCATTTTTTATGATAAAAACATTCAAAATATTTTTTCTAACTTTTTTGTTCATTTTTCATTTGTTCAAAATATACAGCAGTAGTTTAATCTATCACTTTTTTTTTTCTGGACAGGCAGAGTTAGACAGTGAGAGAGAGAGAGATAGAGAAAAAGGTTAATCTATCATTTACAACACTGGCATTACACAGCGGAGCACCTGTTGGAGTCCTGGCTGCTCTGCTTCTGATCTAGCTCCCTGCTGAAATGCCTGGGAAATCAGCAAATGATGGCCCAAATATTTTGGCCCCTGCCACCCATTTGGGAGACCAAGATGGAGTCCCAGGTTCCTAGCTTCAGACTGGCCCAGACCTAACTGTTGTGGTCATCTGGGAAGAGAACCTACAAAAAGAAGATCTCTCTGTCTGTCTCTCTGTTATTCTGCCTTTCAAATAAATAAATAAATCTTTTTAAAAAATAAAAGATACAATACATTATCATTATACGTAATCATCCTACTATGTGATAGTTCACCAGAACTTTTTTCTTCTAACTTCTAATTTAGTACCTATTAACTAACTTTTCCTGTTTTCCCAGCTTCGAGTAACCATCATTCTATCCTCAGCTTCTATGATAGCAACTTTTTAGATTTCATATAGAGGTAACATCATATGGTATTTTTCTTTCTGCACCTGGGTTGTTTTACTTAACATCATGACCTCTGATTCCATCCATGTTGGTTCAAGGGACAGTACTTTTTAAAAAATTTTATTTTATTTATTTGAGAGGTAGAGTTACAGACAGTGAGAGAGAGAGAGACAGAGAGAGAGAAGTCTTCCATCCGCTGGTTCACTCCCCAAATGACCACAATGGCCAGAGCTGAGCCAATCCGAAGCCAGAAGCCAGGATCTTCTTTCGGGTTTCCCACACAGGTGCAGGGGCCCAAGCATCTTCTACTGCTTTCCCAGGCCGTAGCAGAGAGCTGGATCGGAAGTGGAGCAGCCAGGACTAGAACCCGTGCCCATATGGGATGTCAGCACTGCAGGCAGAGGATTAACCTACTGAGCCACAGTGCCGGCCCCAGGGCAGTATTTTTTTTTTAATATCTATTTTATTTATTTAAAAGGCAGAGTTACAGAGAGGAAGGGGGAAAGACATAGGAGAGAGAGAGAGAGAGAGAGAGAGAGAGAGAGAGGGAGAGATCTTCCATCAGCTGGTTCACTCCCCAAATGGCTGCAATGGCCAAGGCTAGACCGGGTGGAAGCCAGGAGCTTCTTCTGGGTCTCCCATGTGGGTACAAAAATAGGAAAGCTGAAAATTAATCTATCTATATCTCTGCATACTTATCCTTCTTTATTGTTTTGATGCTGGTGTATCTCTAAAGAACAGGAGTTTAAAATAAAATTATGAAAATTAATCTATCTATATCTCTGCATACTTATCCTTCTTTATTGTTTTGATGCTGATGTATCTCTAAAGAACAGGAGTTTAAAATAAAATTATGGGGGCCGGTATTGTGATATAGCAGGTTAAGCCTCTACCTGCAACACCAGCATCCTATATGGGTGTTCCAGTTCCAATCCCTCTCTCTGCTATGGCCTGGGAAAGCAGTGAAGGATGACCCAAGTGCTTGGGCCCCAGCACCCACGTGGGAGACCTAGAAGAAGCTCTGGGCTCCTGACTTCTGCATGGCCCACCCTTGGCTGCTGTGGCCATTTGGTGAGTGAACCAGTGGATAGAAGATCTCTCTATCCCCCCACCCCATCTCTTCTCCTCTCTCTGTAACTCTGCCTTTCAAATAAATAAAAAATAAATCTTTAAAAATAAATAAAATGATTACATCTAGAAAATCAATAATATCAAAACATGTAGTCAGGTTTTAAATTTCTACTCCTTTCCTAAATGTCGGACTTTTTTCTTTGTTTTGCTCTTTGCAAATTTAATATATCAAAAGGCCTACTTCAGTGGCATTCTAGCACCACCACAAAGTAGCCCCAGTGCCCCATCAGCAACACATTTAAGCTGCCCAGTGAGGCTTTTTTCTTTCCAGCTGTGTATTTGGATCAGAATCCAAATAGGTCCACACATTGTGAATAGTTGGTATGTCTGTTAACAGTATATTTTAGCTTGCTGCTTCCTCTTTCATCTCTTTTTCCTATTCAATTTACTCATCTTTTTAAAAAAGGCTTATTTATTTATTTGAGAGGCAGAGTTACAGACAGAGGGGGAGACAGTGAAGGCTGTCGCTCCCCCTCTTCATGGAGGAACGACACTAAACCCTGCCTAGGCTTCATATCCGAGTCACGTCACCATTATGTTGCTCCCCGTCTTCGTGGAGGAACGACACAGGACCCTGCACTGTTCTTTTGTCTGCTCGGCCCTCCCAGGGTTTGCTGCTGGTTCTTCCCGGGTTGGCTACCAACCCTTCCACCTCCGTGGAAGGGCGGTTCCCCTTAGCCACTTTCCCCACTTCCGCGGGGGAGCGGCACACTGCCGGCCGGCTCTCTCCAGGGGCTGCACAGGTGTTCCTTCAGATAGATGTTCCCCTTAGATGTTCCTGGTGCATGCCGTCTCTCTCCTCCTTTATAGTCCTCTTCCACCAATCCCAACTCTGCTACCCACACGCCGAGTACGCTGCTCTCCTCCAATCAGGAGCAGGTCCTACAGTTTATTGGTTGAACTGGAGGCAGCTGTGTAGAAGCTGTTTTCTTCTCTCCCAGCGCCATATTGTGGGAGAGCAGATGCATAGAATAAGTCTTAATTCCAGTAACTTAGTCTAGTCCGAGTTGCTCCCCACAGAAGGCGGTATCTTCCATCTGCTGGTTCACTCCCCATATGGCTGCAACGGCCAGAGCTGGGCCAATCTCGAAGCCAGGAACCAGGATCTTCTTCCAGGTCTCCCATGTGGGTGCAGGGGCCCAAGCACTGGCGCCATCTTCTGCTGCTTTCCCAGGCGCATTAGCAGGGAGCTGGAACAGAAGAGGAACAGCTGTGACTTTAACCTGCGCCCTATGGGATTTTGGCACCAAAAGCCGAGACTTAACTTACTATACCAGAGCTCTGGCCCCTCGAATTACTCACTGAAGAAGTCCTACAGAGTTTCCCATAGACTGTATTCCAGTAGTGTCCTGAAACATGATCCACTTCTCTTTGTTTCAATGGTAATTAAATCTAGAAGATAATTGATACTACTGAGGCTATTGTAAGTAGCATTTTCCTTAAAATTTCACTTTTTGGTTTGATTTTCTTATCCACAAACTTGGTACCCCTTTAAATCAATTTGGTGCACTTACTTGTAGGTTCCTTTGTGTTTTCTATATATGAAATTAGATCATCTATCCGTAATGATAGTTTCTCTCCCTGTCCAGTGTTGTCACCCTTCTGTTTCTTCCCTTATTGTGCCTGTGGGAAACCTGGTGCAGGTTGAGCAGACAAGGGAATAGCAGACATCTGCCCTTTTCCTGATTTCAGGAGCAAAACTTTCAGATTTCCACCTCATATTCTGATGTTGCTATCGTTTTCTAAAATCCAACTTTTATCAGCTCAAGTTCCCAAAGAGACTTAACTTGCTGAGAGGTGTCTTTTTTCTTTCCTTTTATTTTATTTTTGACAGGCAGAGTTAGACAGTGAGAGAGACAGAAAGGTCTTCCTTCCATTGGTTCACCCCCCAGGTGACCACTACAGAGGTGTCTTTTTCAAAATGATAACTGAATGTAGAATTTGATTCACTGCATTTTATGCATCTATTGGGATAGTCATATACTGTTTCTCCTCTATTATGTTAATGTTACAGATTATATTGACTGATTTTCTAATTGTAAGCCAGATATAAAACGACCTAGGTATTAAGGTGATCAGACCCTAAAAGAGCTACTTATAGTAAGACTTGGCAAGAAGTTATCTAATCTTATACAAACTCTCACAAGAATAGAAAGAAAGATTCACCAGTCTATTTTATATTAATACCTAAACTTGCAAGGGTGGTATCCGAAAAAAAAGACTCAAATTATACAAGTTATTATTGAAACAAAATGTTAACAAACTAAATTTAACAATTTATAAGAGGCAATGCATCTTCTCATGGCTAATGATTTTTAAAATTTATTTATTTATTTGAAAGTCAGAGTTACACAGAGATAGAAAGAGAGGCAGAGATAGGGGGGAAAGAGAGAGAGAGATCTCCCCAATTGGCTGCAATGGCCAGAGCCACGCAGATCCGAAGCCAGGAGCTTCTTCTGGGTCTCCCATGTGGGTGCAGGGGCCCTACAACTTGGGCATCTTCTGCTGCTTTTCCAGGCCATAGCAGAGAGCTGGATTGGAAGTGGAGCAGCCAGGACCCAAACCAGCTCCCATGTGGGATGCCAGCACTGCAGATGGTGGCTTTACCAGCTACACCACAACACTGGCCCTGTGGCTAATGATATTAAGCTCTGATTTCTTCCTCCACTCTCCCATTTTTTCCCCCACTCATGCCCACTTTTTTCTTCAAAGCACTTATTTTAATATGTAATTATATGATATGGAATCATTTCTTTTCATCTATCTCCCCCTATAATTTTTTCAGGATTATATTTTAATGAAGGCAATCACTTACATATTGAGGTCTTCAGATAGTAGATGCTTTTTGGTAAAAGGCTTTTCTATTTTTCTCTTTGAAATTAAGAAGAAACATGGCGGCTGTCCTTCTCTCACATTGAGAAGGAAATTTTAAACCAGCACGGACAAAAAAAAACATGCTGTCAAAGTGATGGACAGAAGTGCTGCAGGTAACATCCTTCTCTTGTTAAATGGCACATTCTCTGGGGTATGCTTAATTTCTTGTTGACTCCATTGTTCAAACCTGAAGGTAACCATCGCTGGGTTGGGCCTGGGGAACAGAGAAGAGCTGGACTGACCTGGGTGGGGAGAATGTGAGGCAGAAACCAGAGAAGCCAGATCCAAGGGACGAAGGAAAGGGTGTGGCTGGAAGGCCAAGCCAGGGAGCAGCAGCTGTGAACCCCTGGATTAGATAGATGTGTAAGCAGGACGGAGCAGGAGAGTGGGAGCACTAACCAGGAGAGTCCTCAATGTCTTAGTATTCTGGTTGCTGAAAGATCTTGAATACTAATGTCATGCAAGGAAGGAGATCGATCTTAAAATAAAAAAAAAAAAAATACAGTACTTTCATTTAAAAACTGAGAGAGAGAGAGAGAAAGAAAGAGAGAGAGAGGATCATCCATTGGTTCATTCCCCAAGTGCATGGAATGCCCCGGAACCCAGGCACTCTCATATGGCTTGTGGGAGTCTGCTGTGCTAAACGCCTGTCCCTAGGAGCACACTTATTGGATAGGGTGTTTGCCTCGCCATGATTTGGCTGTGTTGATAGCTAGGGATTGAAGGCCCAAACTTGAAATAGGATTAAATGGGTAATAATTTTTCTTGGTAGCATACATGCCATAAAAAAAATCCCAAGATTGGAAAGCAGTTACTGAGGACTGGCATTGTGGCGTAGCGGGTTAAGCTGCTGCCTGTGATGCCGGTGTCCCTGCTGCTCCACTCCCTTTTTTTTTTTTCCAACTTTTATTTAATAAATATAAATTTCCAAAGTACAACTTTTGGATTATAGCGGGTTTTCCCCCCATGAACTCCCTCCCACCCGCAATCATCCCATCTCCCACTCCCTCTCCCATCCCATTCTTCATCAAGATTCATTTTCAATTATCTTTATATACAGAAGATCAACTTAGTATATACTAAGTAAAGATTTCAACAGTGCTCCACTTCTGACTGAGCTCCCTGCTAATGTGCCTGGGAAACAGCAGAGGATGACCCAAGTGCTTTGGGCCCTGCACCTACATGGGAGACCTGGAAAAATCTGGCTCCTGGCTCCTGGCTCCTGGCTCCGGCCTGGCCCAGCCCCAGCAGTTGCAGCCATTTGGAGAGTGAACCAGCGGATGAAAGATATCTCTCCTCCTCCTCTCTGTAATTCTGCCTTTCAAATAAATAAATAAAGTCTAAAAAAGAAAGAAAAATAATTACTTATTGGAATTTATGAAGCTTACCAGTGTAAAAGTTACAAAAAGGGGCCAGCATTGTGGCATAGCAGGTTGAGCCACAGCCTGTGATGCCGGCATCCAATATTGGAGCACCTGTTCAAGTCCTGGCAACTCAGCTTCTGATCCAGCTGTCTGCTAATGCACCTGTTTGAGCTAGGAATGGGGAAGAGAGGAGGGAAAAATCTGTTTTTAGGAGGCTGGTGTTGTGGCATAGGGGGTTAAACTGCCACCTGTGATGCTGGCATTCCACATGTGTGCCAGTTTGTGTCCCAGCTGCTCCACTCAGAGCCAGCTCCCTCTTAATGCACCTGGGAATGCAGCAGAAGATGACCCAAGTAACTGAGCCCATGCCCCTAGTGTGGGAGACCTGAAAGAAGCTCCTGGCCCCTGGCTTTTGCAAGGTCCAACCGTAGCCATCGTGGTGATCCGCAAAATGAACCAGTGGATAAAAGATCTGTCTGTCGGCCGGCGCCGCAGCTCAACAGGCTAATCCTCCACCTAGTGGCGCCAGCACACCAGGTTCTAGTCCCGGTCGGGGCGCCAGATTCTGTCCTGGTTGCCCCTCTTCCAGGCCAGCTCTCTGCTGTGGCCCGGGAGTGCAGTGGAGGATGGCCCAAGTGCTTGGGCCCTGCACCCGCATGGGAGACCAGGAGAAGCACCTGGTTCCTGCCTTTGGATCAGCGCGGTGCGCCAGCTGCAACGCACCAGCCGTGGCGACCATTGGAGGGTGAACCAATGGCAAAAGGAAGACCTTTCTCTCTGTCTCTCTCTCACTGTCCACTCTGCCTCTCTCTCTCTGAAATTCTGCCTTTCAAATAAATAAATAAAATATATTTTTTTAAAAATCTGTTTTTAAAACTTCAAAACAGGAGCTGGCATTTGATGTAATGGTTAAGATGCCCACATACCATATTAAGGTGCTTGGCTGAATTCCCAGCTTTGCTCCTTACTCCAGCTTCCTGCCAGTGCGCACCTTTTAGGAGGCAGCAGGCGATCAATCAAACACCTGGGTCCCTTCCACTCATTTGGGAGACCTGGATGAAGTTCCTGGCTCTTGGCTTCAGCCTGATCAAACCCCAGTTGTTGCAGGCATTTGCAGGCATTTGGGAATGAACCAGTTGATGGAGGTTCTTTGTCTCTCGCTGTGTCTGACTGCCTTTCAAATAAAAATAAATCTAAAAGTAAAAATTGAGATTAAAGGGGGCCGGCGTTGTGGCACAGCAGACTAACAACGCCCTGGCCTGAAACGCCAGCATCCCATATAGGCACCACCAGTTCTAGTCCCGGCTGCTCCTTTTTCTGATCCAGCTCTCTGATATGGCCTGCGAAAGCAGTAGAAGATGGCCCAAGTCCTTGGGCCCCTGCACCCTCATGGGAGACTTGGAAGAAGCTCCTGGCTTCTGGCTTCAGATCAGCGCAGCTCTGGCCATTGCGGCCATCTGGGGAGTGAACCATCAGATGGAAGACCTCTCTCTCTCTCTCTGCCTTTCCTCTCTCTGTGTAACTCTGACTTTTTTTTTTTTTTTTTTTTTTTTTTGACAGGCAGAGTGGACAGTGAGAGAGAGAGACAGAGAGAGAAAGGTCTTCCTTTGCCGTTGGATCACCCTCCAATGGCCGCCGCTGCAGCCGGCGCACCGTGCTGATCCGATGGCAGGAGCCAGGATCCAGGTGCTTTTCCTGGTCTCCCATGGGGTGCAGGGCCCAAGCGCCTGGGCCATCCTCCACTGCACTCCCTGGCCATAGCAGAGAGCTGGCCTGGAAGAGGGGCAACCGGGACAGAATCCGGCGTCCCAACCGGGACTAGAACCCGGTGTGCCGGCGCCGCAAGGTGGAGGATTAGCCTAGTGAGCCACGGCGCCGGCTAACTCTGACTTTTAAATAAATCTTTAAAAAAAATTGAGATTGGCCGGCTCCGCGGCTCACTAGGCTAATCCTCCGCCTAGCGGTGCCGGCACACCGGGTTCTAGTCCCGGTTGGGATGCCGGATTCTGTCCCGGTTGCCCCTCTTCCAGGCCAGCTCTCTGCTGTGGCCAGGGAGTGCAGTGGAGGATGGCCCAGGCGCTTGGGCCCTGCACCCCATGGGAGACCAGGAAAAGCACCTGGATCCTGGCTCCTGCCATCGGATCAGCACGGTGCGCCGGCCGCAGCGCGCCAGCCGCGGCGGCCATTGGAGGGTGAACCAACGGCAAAGGAAGACCTTTCTCTCTGTCTCTCTCTCTCACTGTCCACTCTGCCTGTCAAAAAAAAAAAAAAAAAAAATTGAGATTGGGCCGCAAGGCGGAAGATTAGCCTATTGAGCTGCGGCGGCAGCACCCTGGGTTCTAGTCCCGGTTGGGGCGCCAGATTCTATCCTGGTTGCCCCTCTTCCAGGCCAGCTCTCTGCTGTGGCCAGGGAGTGCAGTGGAGGATGGCCCAAGTGCTTGGGCCCTGCACCCGCATGGGAGACCAGGAGAAGCACCTGGCTCCTGGCTTTGGATCAGCGCGATGCGCCAGCCGCAGCGGCCATTGGAGGGTGAACCAACAGCAAAAAGGAAGACCTTTCTCTGTCTCTCTCTCTCTCACTGTCCACTCTGCCTGTCAAAAAAAAAAAAATAAAATAAATAAATAAATAAAAATTGAGATTAAAAACAAAACGTCGAAGCATATATTTGGAAACATAATCAAGTTTTAAATAATGATAATTATAATTTTCATATATGACAATGAAATATATATGCTAATTATGTCTTTATTGTTTAAATATCTCGTTCCTGTAAGATGCCTTAAGTCTTTTATAAAATGAGGCATTTTGTAAGTAAAAATAAATGGTTTTCTTTTTTATGTAACAGGAAAAGTTGCTTAAAGCTAATGAAATACCTTTTGGAACAGCTGAAAAAGTTTGAAAGCCGCAGACTGGGTAAGTTCTGCTCCTATCATGTGAAAACTGCCTTCTTTCACACCTGTACCCTGGAGCCCAGCGATGACAAGTGGCGCCCTGAAGACCTGCCCCTCTGCTTTGACAAGTGCCTGGCGTATTTTCTTCAGTGCCTCAGGACTGAGCAACTTCAGCACTATTTTATTCCTGAGGTCAATCTATTCTCTCAAGACAAAATTGACAAGAGAAGTAAAGAATTTCTAATAGAGCAAATTGAATATGAAAGAAAAAATGGATTTCCAGTTTTTAGTGAATTTTGAAAGTATATTTAGAGAAAGAATCAAGAATTGGGGTGATGATAATATTTAAGAGGTTTGGAATTTGACTGAAACGAATATAAATAACTATTGAGTTCTCGCTGTGTCATAATAAATTCTAATCAATATATAGAACTGACTGTCTCAGGGAAAATATTAGTCCAGGAACAAGAAGCAAAAGGAATGTTTAAAATCTAAAAATATTCCATAGCGTGGAAGAGGAGTTTACTGTTCTGTGAGGCTTCCCCCCCACCCAAGTCTAGTAAGCAGGGGAAACCATCATATTTGTGCTTGAAATACAAGTTATTCAAGGGAAAAATTCTTGTCATTTGGCACTAACCAAAAAAAAAAAAATCACAAAACAATATCAAGTTCAATTGAAGAAAAGAATAAAATCTATAATCACCTTTGTTAAGTTAATCAAGTACGTATCAGATGCCTCTGTCTTCTAGCACAGGTGGGGAAGGTAGTAAGAGACAATATTAGACATGATCATTGCTCCGTAAAACAGGTGTGCTTAGTTCAGCGTTTAAATATATTTGGAAGCAATGCCCTGTCCTGTATGTTAGGAGAAAAAAAAAAAAGCAAATGAAAAAAGAAAGAGCCTGCATGTCTCAGGAAATGCATGTTACAGAAAAATTCAAGGTAGTTTAATATATATGATTAAATATAAAGCATAACTTATTTTATTTTCAGTAACACGTCTAATATTCCGTTTTACCTTCTGAAAAGGCAGTGTACACACGTGGAATCCAATGCAGAGAAACGGTACGGAGGGAAACAGTAGTCCTCTCCACTGAGCCAGCATTCAGCCTGCTGGCACCTGCTGCTGGCTTTTAACATCTCCCTGTTTATATGTATTTTGCACATTGTCTGGTTGGCTGGTTTACTTTTTTCTCACTGTGCTGTAGTTCTTTATACATTTTGGACACTTACCCTTTGTAATCTATGTAACAAATAATTTTTCCTGCTGTGCAGGTTGTCTTTACCTTTTTTGGTGTCTTTTAGTAAACCAAGTTTTAAAATTTTAATGTAGTTGAATGTATCCGTCTTTTACATGGTTTGTGTTGCATACATCTGTTTAACAACCTCCTATGTTTGAAAATGTTAAGAGAGGCCGGCACTTTAGCACACATTGTGGGTTAAGCCACCAGTAGCAATATCAGCATCCCATATGGGCACTGGTTTGGGTCCTGGTTGCTCTGCTTCCAATCCAGCTCCCTGCTAATGCATCTGGGAAAGCAGCAGAAGATGGCCTGAGTGTTTGGGCCGCTTTCACCTGGGTGGAGCCCCAGCATTCTTGCTTCACCTGGCTGTTGCAACCATCTGGGGAGTGAACCAGTGGGTTTGCTCTCTCTTCCTCCCTCTGTCTCTCTGTAACTCAGCTATCCAAATAAACAAATCTCTCTTTAAAAAAGTATCACTGAGGCCGGCACCGCGGCTCACTAGGCTAACATTACAAAGTTATAGTAATGTAATCATTGGCTATTAATCTCATTAAAATTATGACTAACTGTGTGGGCAGGACAGAAATAGTAGCTGAGTGCCCATGTGGTGATAGTGGAGATTATCCTACTTTCTTATTACTGAGTAACAAGTGACCACAACTTTAGTGGCTTGAAACAACACACATACATGGGGAAGCGTGTTTGGTTCAGTGTTTGGGATGCAGGCATACCATGTCATAGTACCTTGGTCCAAGGCCTGACTTCCCTCCCGAGTCCAGCTTCCTGCTAGAGTGCACCCTGGGAGGCAGCACATGATGGCTCAAATACTTGTGTCCTTGTCATCTATGTGGGAGACCTTTAATGGGGTTCCTGGCTTCTGGCTTTGGCCTGGTCCAGATCTGACTATTGTGGGTATTTCAGGAATAAACCAGCTGATGGAAGACCCTCTGCTTTTCAAATAAATACATTTTTAAAAAAGCCTTCATTGTAGAGTAGTAGGTGGAGCCCCCACCTGCAAAGCCAACATCCCTTATGGGCACCAGTTGGAGTCCTGACTGTTCCACTTTGGATCCAGCTCCCTGCTGATGACCTAGGAGGAGCAGGAGGGGGTGGCCCAAGTGTTTGGACCCCTGTCATCCATGTAGAAGACCTGGATAAAGCTCCAGGCTTCAGCCTGACCTAGCCCTGACTGTTGTAGCCATTTAGGGAGTGAACCAACAGACAGAAGATATCTTTGTCTGTCTCTCCCTCTCTGTGGTTCTGACTTTCAAAATAAGTGAATATAATAAAATGCCCTCATAATATTATCTTCATTTCTATATGTCAGGATTCTGGTCATAGTTCCACTTGGGGTCTCAGGTCACTATAATTAAGGTGTGCCATCAATGTAATCATGGATTCACTGGAGAAGGAGCCACTTCTGTTGGGAGAATTTAGCTCCTTACACTTACTGACAGCTTTGGTTTCTTGCTCTCGGCTCCCAGAAGCTGCCTTTCATTCCTTGTTGTGGGAGCCTCTCAACATAGGCACTTATAAAGCAGCTCAATCCTCAAAACCACAAGGGATGCAACTCCAGCAAGGGGGTGCTGCGGTCCTACTCTACATAAGTATGTCTGCATAGCCATGTACGTCCCGTTGCCTTTACCATATTCTGCTGATCGGAAGTGAGTCACGGGCCCAGCCCCACTCAGGGGAAAGGGGGAACTCTTGGGGTGTGTGCCAGTTTAGCCAATTGTATTCTTGGCAGGGGAACTTTCGCTGAAGGACCACTCACTTCTAATACCAGTTGCAATTTCAGGGGATTCCTTAAACCACCCTCAGGGTCGGTTTTGTTTTGTTTTGAGATTTATTTATTTATTTATTTGAAACTCAGAGTTACACAGAGAGAAGGAGAGGCAGAGAGAGAGAGAGAAGTCTTCTATCCGATGGTTCACTCTCCAAATAGCTGCAATGGCTGGAGCTGTGCCGATCTGAAGCCAGAAGCCAGCAGATTGTTCCAGGTCTCCCACACAGGTGCAGGGGCCCAAGGACTTGGGCCAGCTTCTACTGCTATCCCAGGCCATAGCAGAGAGCTGGATTGGAAGTGGAGCAGCTGGGACTAGAACCCGCGCCCCTATGGGATGCTGGCACTGCAGGTGGCGGCTTTACCTGCTGTGCCACAGTGCTGGCCCCTGGAAATTCTTTACCTATTAAATAATAACTCCCGTTCTCCTTTCTGCCCCCTTGCCACCATTCTGCTTCTTTCATGAATTTAACTACTTTAGATATCCCATTAGTGAACTCATCGTATTGGTCTTTTTGTGAGTTTATTTTACTTACTAAAATGCCCTTAAGGTTCACTCATGTTGTAGCATGTGATAGAATTGTCTTCCTTTTTAAAAAAAAAAAAGATTTATTTATTTTACTTGAAAGAAGCTGTTTCCTCCTCTCCCAACGCCATATTGTGGGAGAGCAGATGTATAGAATAAGTCTTAATTCCAGTAACTTAGTCTAGTCCGAGTTGCTCCCCACAATGAAATCCCAAATTCCCCCCAGCATATGAATACGTATAGAGAAAAATGTCCTAGGAATATTCAGTACGTTGCCTGCAGGAATGCAGTCTTGATTTTTCTCTCTATAACTTTATAAAGTTAAGAAAAGTAGTACAGAGTGTAATCTGGTGATCACTCAGCCACCTGGGTTTCTGCACCTGCTTAGGATAGGCACCGTGCTCACTTGGTCCTCATCAGAGCACTGCCGCCTCACAAGGCATTCCCTGTGATCATCCAATCAGCCCTCTTGAGAGTGTGGGTGCCTGATTGTGGCTGGGAGTGAGAATTCTCCCTGCAGCCTTCCTGGGCACAGGTGCCTCTCGCTGCAATGCTCACATTTCTAGCAACCTCGGGGGCTCCATCTCTTGCTGCTAGCCCATCCTGTTCATCAGAGGCCAGCAGCTTCAGGGCACTGGCTCCTGGGAGATAACCGAGTGTGCTCCCAGAAGGAGTGGGCTCCAGGTGCAGGAGGGGTGCT